AGCAGCCTGTGATGACACCTGGTTCTGCTCACTATAGGAGCTGCTTCAGTTATTAAATAAATAAATATAATAATAATATACCTCCTTGAACCATCACCTTATCGTGGTGGAGGAGTTTGAGTGCCCTATGATCCTAGGAGCTATGTTGTCTGGGGCACTTTGTGCCCCTGGTAGGGTCTCCCATGGCAAATTGGTCTTAGGTGAAGGGTGAGACAAAGAACGGTTCAGAGGATCTTTCGTGGATGTACAATCAAAGAGTCTGAGTACCTGGCCCGGAGGGTTACCAGGGTCCCACCCTGGAGCCAGGCCTGGGTTGGGGCCCGTGAGCGAGCGCCTGGTGGCCAGGCTTGCGCCCATGGGGCCCGGCCGGGCCCAGCCCGAACCGGATACATGGGCTCATCCAACTGTGGACCCACCACCCGCAGAAGGAACGTGAAGGGTCCGGTGCAGTGTGGATCGGGTGGCAGACCGAGGCGGGAGCCTTGGCGGTCTGATCCCCAGACAACGAAACTGGTTTTTGGGACATGGAACGTCACCTCGCTGGCGGGGAAGGAGCAGGAGCTTGTGGCAGAGGTTGAGCGTTACCGGCTAGATATAGTCGGACTCATCTCAACACATAGCATTGGCTCTGGAACCCACGTCCTTGAGAGGGATTGGACACTCTCCTTTGCTGGAGTTGCTCCGGGTGAGAGGCGGAAGGCTGGGGTTGGCTTTTGTTAGCCCCAAGACTCTCTGCCTGTGTATTGGGGTTTACCCCGGGGGACGAGAGGGTAGCTTCCCTGTGCCTTCGGGTCAGGGAACGGGTCCTGACTGTTGTTTGCGCTTATGGGCCAAATATCAGTTCAGAGTACCCACCCTTTTTGGAGTCCCTGGGACGAGTGCTAGAAAGTGCTCCATCGGGGGACTCCATTGTCCTGCTGGGGGACTTCAATGCTCACGTGGGCAAAGACAGCATGACCTGGAGGGGTGTGATTGGGAGGAACGGCCCGCCTGATCTGAACTCGAGTGGTGTTTCATTATTGGACTTCTGTGCAAGCCGCAGTTTGGCCATAACGAACACCATGTTCGAACATAAGGATGTCCATTGGTACACTTGGTACCAGGGCAGCCTAGGTTGCAGGTTGATGATAGACTTTGTAGTCGTATCATCTGACCTGCAGCCGTATGGTTTGGACACCAGAGTGAAGAGAAGAGCCGAGCCGTCAACTGATCACCACCTGGTGGTGAGTTGGATCACATGGCAGGGGAAGATGCTGCGTAGACCTGGCAGAACCAAATGCATAGTGAAGGTCTGCTGGGAACGCCTGACAAAAGAACCTCTCAAGACGGTCTTCAACTCCCACCTCCGGCAGAGCTTTGACCGTGTCCCGAGAGCAGTGGAGGACGTTGACTCCGAGTGGGCCTTGTTACACACTGTGATTGTTGAGGCGGCTGTTGCTAGCTGTGGTTGCAAGGTGGCCGGTGCCAGTCGGGGTGGCAACCCCCGTACTCGCTGGTGGACACCAGAGGTTCGGGGAGCTGTCAGGCTGAAGAAGGAAGCCTATAGGGTGTGGCTGGTCTTTGGGTCTCCGGAGGCAGCAGACAGGTACCGGATAGCCAAGCGGGGTGCAGCAGTGGCAGTTGCCAAGGCAAAATCTTGGGCGTGGGAGGAGTTTGGTGAGGCCATCGAGAAAGACTATTGATCAGCTCCAAAGAGGTTCTGGCAAACTGTCCAGCACCTCAGGAGAGGAAGGCAGCAACTCGCTCACACTGTTTACAGTGGGGATAGGGAACTGCTGACGTCAACTGGGGCTATAGTCAGACGGTGGAAGGAATACTTTAAGGAGCTCCTCAATCCCACCTACGCGCATTCCGAGGAGAAACCAGAGCCGGGAGACCTGGGGATGGACTGTCCAATCTCGGATCCAGAAGTTGCTGAGGTAGTCAAATATCTACACAGCGGCTGAGCCCCGGGGGCTGATAAGATTCGTCCTGGGTATCTCAAGGCTATGGATGTTGTAGGGCTGTCATGGTTGATATGTCTCTGCAACATTTCGTGGTCATCGGGGGCAGTTCCTGTGGAGTGGCAGACTGGGGTGGTGGTCCCCATCTTTATGAAGGGTGACCTGAGGGTGTGTTCCAACTATAGGGGGATCACACTCCTCAGCCTCCCTGGAAAGGTCTCCTCCAAGGTACTGGAGAGGAGGGTCCGATCGATAGTTGAATCTCAGATTGAGGAGGAATAATGTGGTTTTTGTCCTGGCCGTAGAACTGTGGACCAGCTCTATACCCTTGCAAGGGTGATGGTGGGGGCATGGGAGTTTGCCCAACCAATTCACATGTGTTTTGTGGATTTGGAGAAGGCTTATGAACGTGTCCCCAGGGGCACCCTGTGGGGGACGCTCCAGGAGTATGGGGTGGGTGACTTTCTGTTAAGGGCCATTCAGTCCGCTTACCACAGGAGCGTGAGTTTGGCCCACATAGCCGGTAGTAAGTCGGACCTGTTCCCGGTGAGGGTTGGACTCCGCCAGGGCTGCCCTTTGTCACCGGTTCTGTTCATTACCTTTATGAACAGAATTTCTAGGCGCAGCTGTGGTGTGGAGTGTGTCGAGTTTGGTGGCAGGAGAATCTCGTCTCTGCTTTTTGCGGATGATGTGGTCCTCCTAGCTTCATCCAGCTCTGACCTTCAGCCCTTGCTGGGTAGGTTCGCGGCCGAGTGTGAAGCGGCTGGGATGAGGATTAGCACCTCCAAATCTGAGACTATGATTCTCGACCAGAAAAGGGTGGCTTGCTAACTCCGGGTCGGGAGAGAGGTCCTACCTCAAGTGGAGAAGTTTAAGTATCCTGGGGTCTTGTTCACGAGTGAGGGTAGGAGGGATCGGGAGATCGACAGGCGGATTAGTTCAGCATCTGCAGTGATGCGGATGTTGTGCCGATTTGTCGTGGTGAAGAGGGAGCTGAGCCAGAAAGCCAGGCTCTCGATTTACCGGTCGATTTACATCCCAATCCTCACCTATGGTCATGAGCTTTGGGTAATGACTGAAAGAACGAGATTGCGGATACAAGTGGCCGAAATGAGTTTCCTCTGTAGGGTGGTCGGGCTCAGCCTTAGAGATAGGGTGAGGAGCTCGGACATTCGGGAGGGACTCGGAGTAGAACCGCTGCTCCTCCGGATCGAAAGGAGTCAGTTGAGGTGGTTTGGGCATCTGGTCAGGATGCCTCCTGGTCACCTCCCTGGGGAGGTGTTTCAGGTATGTCCTGCCGGCAGGAGGCCCCCGGGTTGACCCAGGACACGTTGGAGAGGTTACATCTCCAATCTGGTCCGGGAACGCCTTGGGGTCCTGCCGGAGGAGCTGGTGGAGGTGGCCGGGGAGAGGACGGTCTGGAGCTCCCTAGTTGGGATGCTGCCCCCGCGACCCGGACCCGGATAAGCGGAGGAAGACGACGACGAATAATATACCGAAAATTAATCAAACTGAGCCTTTCAAAACACTGAACCGAACTGAATACGAGTTTAGCGTACTGTTACACCCCTAAGTGTGACATCATTTGGTACCAGCAAACTTCATAGTGTACCTCTTAGCCAATAGCGATGATAGATTTAAATTCAAATGTAGTGCAGAGTTTTTACCTGAAGAGGGTGCAACACTGACAGTTTAATGCAGAATATTTCAATTTTAACTAAGCCGCACTAAAGAGCCAAATTATTGACTACACGTGTCTACAGCAAAATTAGACACTCATTTATAGTTTATCAGAAAAAAAAGTTGATTCGAGGGTGACTTGCTCTTTAAAGTTTACTTGAAGCATATAGGTAACATTATGTTGTTTTTGGTTATTGATAGCCCACCTATGCTTTGACAGAAGAGAGGAAGAGCTTCAGCGAGTTTATTTATTTATGCCTCATAATTCCCTTATTTCCTAACACAGTCAAAAATAAGTGATACTGGAGAAAACAGCAGTGTAATTATGGGTATGTTCACACTAACCTTATGTGTCTATATTAAAATTATATCTGATTCTTTATGATGAGTCTAAAAAAAACTCAAATACGATAATGAACAATAACAATAGACAAAAATAAGGATCCATTTATTGCTTGGTCATTATTCTGTAATCTTGATTACACAACTGCACGCTGATGTGTAGCATCCAGGATGCATCGCATCTTCTTCTGTGCATGTAGGTCACTAAAGGGCCACTGTTTAATAAAATACATCAATCATGCAAAAATAAGTATCAATATTAGTATGTTCCCAAGTAATAGTAAGTGGTACATATATGTTTTTCTGTACATTATTTATTTAATATTCTGACATTTAATCGGGTCTTTTCTAGGGTAGGGTTAAGGTAGGTTAGGGTGAGTACATCTGACAACAACAAAATAAATCTAATTTTGTTTTCTGACGTCCCAAAGTTGTTGTTCTCTAAACATTCTGGAGGCACACAAACAGCACAAATCAATTGTCTGACAGAAAAGGGCATCGAGGAAAGCGTGTGAACCACTTTTTAAGCATTCCCCAGGCTGTTTCACTCTTGATCTTTCTAAACAAAATGTATCAACCTTTCTGCATTTCTTTAAAGGCAACTATGCCAAAATGTCTGATCAACAGCTGAATGTCAGCTGAAAATGCAACAAAACCACAATCAGCAGAGCTACAACACAATGCCGGACCAGGAAACAAATCAAACTGTTGAAATGGATTTGTCAAAGTCTATAATTCAGAGCAGATTAAAACCTGTGGCTGGGTTTTAAAAGAGCCGGTTGTAAATAAACATCGGCAAACCTCGATCAATTAGAGCAAAATTGTAAAAAGAGTGAAAGAAAATGCCTCTGACTGTGTAACGGACAGATAAGGTCACTCGAATGTGGATTATTAGTCTTTTAATCTATTTTCATACGTTTGGGGGATGAATGCTAACATTATGAGAGCATTTCTATTGTTTCTTAGAACATGAAGTTTTGCCTGAGCTTACCTGGAGAAATCTCATATATCATCTTCCTGTCTTTCAATCTGTAGGTCATGTATTTATTTCCAACTATCTGCTGAATTACTTCCCGGGTTTGGACATCGAGAGGAGGAACTGTCATGGTTTTACGGCTCTGATGAAGGCTGCCATGCAGGGAAGGTTTGACTGCGTGAGAGTCATCATGCTGGCAGGTGTGTACGTGTTACCACATTAGAGTCAAAACTTGTTTACATCAGGAAGCATCAGATGGGGTCTTACAGGAGAGACAGATCCCTGGGAGCATTAGTGGAGGCAACACAAACACACATCTAAATAATGTGTTTCTGTGTAAAAGTTGTATTGTAGATAGATTCTTGGATGGCCTCAATGTCGAGAAACAGATTTCCCGTCATTTTAGCCAAAATACTAAGATGTTCTTGTCAGAGTTGACTCCTGGATGCTATTTAGGCTTATACATAATGTTAGGTTATGCATATAACCACTGTTCCCTGAAGGAGAACGAAGGTACTTTGGGACATCACGCCCTTGTGTGGCCCGACTGAAGACCCACCTAATCACGCCTATAATGGCAAATGAGTGGCCTCCACCTATAAACACCCAGCGTCACCGTCATTCCTCAGTTTGATAGCTGCTCTTTACCAAGCTAGGCTGCGAAGGGGGCACCCCTGCGTTGTACCTAGTTCCTCTACTTCAGGGAAAAGTGGTTATATGCTAAACATAATGTTGCCTGCAAAGGTGCATATTGAAAAGCCCCATGAGCAGCTATCAAACCTGGGTCAAGAATGCAATCTAAGATGGCAACTCAGACCAAGCAGAAAGAACCGCATGAGCCACCAAAGGGGTCGTAACATCCAAACAGTAAAACCTCTCGAATGTATGGGTTGTAGTCCAGCTAGCAGCCGAGCAAATGTCACCAACTGAAACGCCTTTAAACAGTGCCTATAAAGCAGCCACGCCTCTAGTAGAGTTCACCCTGACCACTTGGGGCAGCTAGGAACCAGTAACACTGTAACACAGAGCAATTACCTGTACAATGCAATGAGAAAGTCTTCTGCCTCGACAAAGCTTTACCCTTGGAGGGTTTGGCGATTTACACAAACAGTTGGTCTGCTGGTCAGAAAGTCCGAGTGCAGTCCACATAAGCCTGCACAACACGAACCGGGCACAGACAATGCAACCTCCTCTGCTCTTCAAAGGCACAAGCAGGACGATTGAAGGCCGAAAGCTCTATGGTCATAGAACGTCCATGGGATGACCTTGGGCAAATATGCAGCATTCAGATGCAGGGTGACCGGAGTTCCATCTGCTGAAAATTGCAGGCAGGAAGCGTGAACCAAAAGAGCATGAAGATCCCCTGGCCAGTGCCAGGGCTAAGAGCAGGGCCGCCTTATAAGACAGGGGGTGTTTCTCAGTGTCAAGGTGCCTGGTCTTGCAAGGCAGTGTCTTGTGAGGCCAGCTGCGTTGCTTGCAAGGTCACTGTCCGTCCTTGGTCAAAGAAAACGGTTAAATGGAACAGATTTGCATCACGTGACTGCAGCTTCCACAGCGGTCACGTAACGTCTCGTGACACGGGAGATAACGTTAGATTTTATACATATTAGTTTCAATATGAATATATAGCGAGGCTTTTACTTTTTAAATTGTGTCTATATTTGTTAAAATAAATACGTAAGTGAATTACTACCTGCTAGCCACCGATGCTGCAACTACTAAGCAACTAACCAACCACAGATAACTTCTTTGGATCTAGAAAAAACATTTTTAATTAGTTGACTTACTTTTAAACTTGAAATTTGCCCCCGAAGTAGCTGCCGACTTCTGATCTGCCGTCCTTTAGAAAATACTGCGGTGTATTCTGGGTAATTTTTTCTCCAAGGCTGGGCAACAAGACACCTCCCGTGTATCCTTGCTCAGCTAGCTAAATGGCTAACAAACGGAGAACACACGCCTCGCTAGAACATGAACATTGGAACACGTCTTGGCGGCTCCTGATGACGTATCCCATAGGCAACCGGGGCAGGGCCAATACATCATGGCGAGGTTTCTTTGGCATTGAGAAACACCCAGAAACTTCATGTCAACCGACTCCGTAGGCTCAAATGGAGGACCACACAGGGCCTCCAGCACCAAAGTGAGGACCCAAGAAGGGACAGGAGATCTAATATGAGGCTGCAGTATACGAACTCCCTTCAGGAACCATACAGTTAAAGGGTGAGCGCCAGGAGAAACCCCATTAATACTGTAGATTCTTGGCAAGCAGAAGTGGCTGAAAAGTTTCAGGGCCAGAAACACAGCTGATAGTTAGTGCATGCTCTGACACCCTCCCATTCCCGGGCAGACAGGACGTGCTTCGTGGAGGTCCTTCACATGGCGAGAGAACCCTCAGCTCTTAGGACAGGGATGTGAAGCAGGCATTCGCTTAGCAGGTTCCAACAGTGCTCATGGCGAGACAGAGCGGAGTGGTAGAAGCGAAAGAGATGAGGACGAATGCAGGAAGCTGAAAGAGCTACAAAAATATAGCACTCGGTGGGCGACTGCCAGCCAGAAGGCAGCAGAATCAACTCCAGCGTGCAGTTAAGCTGGTTATTTCAATAGCAACTTTACCAATAGACGTGTTCTCATTGACGTGAAGAGCGCAAGAACTGAGGAATGACGGTGACGCTGGGTGTTTATAGGTGGAGGGCGGGGCCACCACAGAGCGTCACTCTCATTTGCCTTTAAAGGCGGGATTAATGTGTCTTCAGCCAGGCCACACGAGGGCGTGATAAACCCAAAGTGTCTTTGTTGTACCTCGTTCCTCTCCTTCAGGGAACAGTGGTTATATGCTTAACCTTACATTATTTATAAGCCTAAAAGAGCAAGGGAACCAAGTTTCAGTTCATTTTATTTCTTTTTTAAATGAATTATGGTGAGATTCATTTTTTTCAGATATAAATGATGAATTTTGACCCTTTTCAGCCATGGTGTTCCTCAGAAGTAACCAGTTATTTTTCCTCCTGGTCGTCGCCTTCCTTTCAAATGAGACCATTAAAGTGTGATGTCATGTTTCCAGGAGGTGACATTCAAGCGCAGGACTACGGTCGCCGTATGACGCCCAGGGAGTGGGCTCTCTTCACCGGCCGATATGAGACAGCCACTCTGATACATCGGCTGATGTTGAGGCCTTGTGCTGAGCAGTTCTGCGACTCTTTCCCTCTGGAGTGGCCCTTGTTAGAGGTTGGGAAAGCTTTTGGCTTCAGTTATTTAAATGAAATGAAACACTTCATTAGTGCTTAAAACTTCTAAATCGTGTTCTTCTGCAGGAGCTGGTGTCCCAGGCCCAAAAGCCAAAGACTTTCTGGAGACGCCTAATTAAACTGCTCTCTTGTTGTCATTATGGGTTTTATTTTAACAACAAGGTAAACCCTTTGACTGATGGAGTCCTGGGCCACATGGTGCAAATAACTACAGGCATCTCCAGTCCGTTTATTGCCCCAGCCTGTAGGACGGTGTGCCCAGGCAGCCCGCCGTGCATCGGCAAGCGCCGTCCCGCTGTGCAGGAGATTCTGAGGAGGCAGCGAGTGGCAGAGCTGAGGCGTCTTGGTCCCGACAGGCTGAACAACTACAAAAGATTTTTCCAGAACTCGAGAGTCCTTCTCATTCCCAAAGCAAAGGATCGAAGGGCGAGCCTGCAGCCTCAGCTACTTACTGATGTGGCCAGGGCGTCTACGGGTGCCCTGAGAAGAGCCAGCCTCCTGCCACTTCATATGCTGAGGCGAAGTAGCGTGCGGCCCGGTATTGTGGTGCCAAAGGTCACCCTCTGCAAGGCTCCACCTCCAAGCTTCATACCTGAAAACCTGAAAAGAAACAGTGACAAGAATCAACTCCAGATCCCCAAGTGGGACTACAAGATGAAAAGAATAGAACGGAAGCAGGAGGCGGAGAGGCAAAGAATGTTTTTTGTGACAAGATTGAGGTGAAAAACAGAGAGAAGTCACAGCACCACCTCTGTGCATCTTCCTGTTAGAAACTCTAAATGTTTTGTGACAGAGCTGTCACAGAGACGCAGCCTTAGAAAACCTGAAATGTTAAAGTCAACTAAAAATATGCCTTTTTTGTTGACTTTTGTAATGTTTTGGAAGTGGTTACTTTGAATAAACTCAATAAAATGTAAAGGTATTCAACAAGATGTAATATTCCATAAAAATATGGATTATCAATATTATTGAACCTTTAGGCGATAAACAGCATGTGTTTTAAATTGGAAAGTACACGGTATTCTGGGCAGACGAAGCCGACTGGACAGTTCAGTGTCTGGTGACCTCTGACATTAAGGCTTTTCCTATGCTACACATTGACTTGTTGCCTTGTTTTTACTTGAATCCACTCACTATTTATGTGAGGTGTAGTTAATGGTGCAAGACATTCAAAAGCACAAAATATATCCCTAATTTCTGTAAAGATGTAAGATTTTAGGCCTTTTGATAGCTTTTATCACGTCATTTATTCTGGAGCATTTGGCCGATCTTGGCTTGGTAAGAAGACCAAAGATTTCTTTCTGGCTACTTGAGCTGATTGAAGCAAGACAGGAGCACGGCGCACAGGAGGAAGTCAAAAGTCATTCACCACTCATGCAGAGTACAACAGGTTATCTTTGAGGAAGAAAATCACTGCTGCAGAATTTGACAGCGGAGCTGAGGAGCCAGCTCACACAGGCTTTGTTAGAGCTTTGTGGCGAAGCTGAAAGGCAGAGCCAAAAATAAACAGCTTAGTTCTTCACTGACATTCTGACTTCTAAAGCCATCACGGGAACGTCTACTGTCTGTAATGTATGTTTCCCAATCTGTGAGCGAAGACGTATGGGGGCTGTCATTAGCTGTTCCTGGATGACAACATCCACGTTTCAGTTTTGCATCGACATCAGGAGAAATAACTATAAAAGCTGCAGTGTAAATGTTTTGAAGTAAAACGACAAATATGGTGTTTACAGAAAGAAAAATGGTTTTAAGCCAGGATTATCATTCTAATAGCAACTAGCAGTTCAGTAGCCAAGTGACTTTCTCTTGCTTAAATATACCTTCAGCTGCGGAATCCAGACGCTGTTACCAAAATCATGATTCTAAAACAGGAATGAACAAAGTGATTAGTTTATTCACGGTGGTTTCTTCATTAAAGAACAAACAATTGGGAAAATCAAAACAGAATGCCCTCTAGTGGCACAAACTCAGAATTGTAACTAAACCTTAGAAATCCACCTTCAGAATGAGGTGAAATCCTTGTTTTTTAGAGCAGCTTTATACAGTATTTTACAATTCTTACCTCCACTTTTTTTTAATTACCATGTAAACATGATTTTGTTTACATTTTATTAACTGAAAGTAGGGCTGGGCGATATGGCCTAAAATCAATATCACGGTATATTGAGGAGTTGCGATAAACAATAACTACATGTATGCGCAAAAACAAAAGTTGTCCACTAGATGGGGTTGTCACGCGTATTACGTTGAGTCACGTTGTCATGTGACTTGAGGTGGTTCAGCTCCTTAAAGGGACATGAATCTCGCCAACCCACACATTTTTTTATTACCCAGTTTATTGACATGGGAAAAGGAAATTGGTTAGAGTCAGAAATTTTGATAACAATAAGGTTTTGATTTATTACCCAGCCCTAACAGGAAGTGTTGTAATCAGTATCTATTGAAACAAAAATAAAACAATCAAATTTGTTTGATTTTATGCTCTGATTCTTCTCTTAATTCTTACGCTTGGTAATTAAATACATAATTACATTTATTAATAGTTTATTTTTTGCTCTCTCAAGGATGGGACTTTGTATAGACGGGAAATCTCAGGTATCAGAAACAATTATTTTTTCTCTGGAGATGGACATTGATGATGAAGTCAAGATCTCAGAAACCTTCAAAGAAATTTTTTAACTCAGCGGTGGCTCAGTTTTACATATAAAGTAATCAAGTACACTAAAAACCCAGATAAGCAAAACACATCTAAACAACAACTGCAAGCCAAATTAATTTCTGAACTAAAATTCCCTTGCCTTAAAATGTTGCAATTAATTCTTGGACATTGACATCATTTTAATCACTTATAAGCTTTTATTTTTGACTGTTTACAACAGCTTTTATCTGAACATGAAACATGACTGTGGTTTAGAGAGGAAATGTATTTAAATGAAGTTGTAATGAATGGTAATAACTGTGTGACGTTTGTGTTTTGTCAATGCACACAGAGATTAAAATAATTACTCTTGGGTGTGGTAGCATTAAAACAATGCTCAGCTGACACATTATTCAGTATCAATTAATATGTTGTTTTTTTAAAGTCGATAATAGCACTAAAGTAACTCTGTGGTTTCTCTATTTTATTTGAAGATGACCCAAATTTGTGTAGATCTAAAAAAAAATTAAAACAGTAAGTCAAACTGAGAGGTGGATCATAGTAATTCCCCACAAACATACTGCTGGGAGCTGAACAGCTACCTGAGGATCTGTAAAACCACCTGAAAGGAGGAGAAAGATGGATGGTAACTCTGTGTTTGGATGGGAGACAGATGTTCCTCTCGTGCACTTCAGCACTTGTGGCGACATAAGAAACACAAGCCAGATGCACTGTGGTCCTGCAGCGTGTTGATCTTTCTGTGAAGACTCATGCAGATTAGACCTGCAGGACTAAAATGGCTGCCACCCCGACCTGCTGTGCAGTGTCCACTGTTGACCACCAGAGAGCACTCATGACCCTTTACAGGTCAACCCTCAGTAGGCATCTTTAGCACTGAGATAAACATCTACACGCACGCACGCGCGCGCGCGCGCACACACACACACACACACACACACACACACACACACACACACACACACTTTCCTCACTAAGAAATACCTCACAAATGTTCTAAATAGTCTTCCTCTTGTCTTTGCAAAGGCATAAATGCTCTAAATGATTTTCCTCCCTTACCTCTGCACTTAGTTAAAGGTACAACATGTAAGACTTTTTCAATGAAATAAGCACAAAACAGTCTAAAGATGAGTATCCAATGAGTGAGTCTAATCATTTTGGAAGGAAGGTTATGTTGAAACAGATCTGCTGGTGTTTGTCTCCTCACAAAATGGCCAAAAAGTGTCATAGTCACTGTTCACAATCCATGTGTCGGCGAAGTTGCCAGCTCTGCGTCACAGCACCGGCATTTGTCAACCTAAGCCAGAAACAGGAGCAACCCAGAAGTAATGTCTGGTATCCCTGAGAAGCATATTTTTGTTTTACGCTAAAGTCTCTTTCACTCCGAATACAGGGCAGATGCAGTCCGGTTTCCGTTTTGCAGTGATTCCCAATCAGTGGGGTGAATGGGGGGATGGGGCAGAAGGAAGGGTGCGGGTTACCTGTGATGCATTATCCAGTGTTTCCCCTACATAGACTCTGGCACTGTGCACATGGAAGGGAAGCACTCGTTGCGCAACAATGGGTTCAGATATCTGGAGATGTTCAGCACACGCACAAAAGTCGGTGTAGATGACAGTCCATCTAGAAGCACCTGGACTACATGAGTAATAAATACATTTGGTGTGACTTATATGGAGTAAAGAAGGCAGAAAGCTAACGTTGGGCTAACGTTGAGCTAACAATGCTAATGGTGAACTTGGAGCAAATAGTCAGCTTTAAAAAATATCTCAAGCTTTTCCAATTGCCAACAACTCGACGTTAGAGTGAAAAGCACGTTGCTCAGCCAAATAAAAGTTGCCACCTGGATTTAACTAAGCAAATAGGTACAAGCCTCTTATTGGATAATTACTGCATGGGTGATTAGTTTTCAGCTGGCAACAAGTAATTTGACCTCAACTTGTTCAGTGAGCTGCTTCCCATTTCTTAAACTACTATGTGGAAAGACACATCTGGTGGTCGTGGAAAAGATGTTAGACTGTTTGGGAAGGGTCAGATCATTGGCATGCAACATCTAAGGAGAATGCAGAAACGAGTATAACTGGGTTAAGAACTGTCCGACGCATTATTAAAACTGGTCTGATGAGTCCAGATGGACCCTGTTCCAGAGTGATGGTGCATCAGGGTAAGAAGAGAGGCAGATGAAGTGATGCACCCATCATGCTGCGGGCCTACTGTACAAGCCTGTGGGGGCAGTGTTATGATCTGGGGCTGCTGTTGGTCAGGTCCAGGTTCAGCAACAGGAGGGGCTCCAAAGATGAGGTCAGCCGACTCCGTGAATATACTGAATGACCAGGTTATTCCATCTTCCCTGATGGCACGGGCATATTCCAAGATGACAATTCCAGAATCCATCAGGCTCAAATGGTGAAATAGTTGTTCAGGGAGTATGAGACATCATTTTCACACGTGGATTGGCCACCACAGAGTCCAGACCTTAACCTCATTGAGAATCTTTGGGATTTGCTGGAGAAGGCATTTTGCAGCGGTCAGACTACGGGGGGGTTCGTTTCAGCCTCACAGGCTCAAGGGCACTAAATTCAGGTAAGAAATTGTTTTGGGGCCAGATGGAGACAACTTCTTCTCTGTCTTAAAGTTCCGTTGGTCCTCAACCTCTCAAAATCCAATAATGGCGTAAATTAATCTATCCCAATCTGTGCTGATTCGTCCACTCGCTCCTTGATCACATTCACCCTTTGTGCCAATGCATGAATCTCAACCAAATTTCCAAGCTTACGACTCATCTCGACAATTATACGAGTTTATGCATTCACAGTGCAGTGTAATCCATCCCTGAGCTCTGGGAAAGAGCCAATATTCCTCGACAGCTCATTAATTTTCCGGTAAGCCAGGTAACCGCTCAGACCAAACGGCAAGAAACCTGACACCAACACCACGAATATCCATACGTCTTCAGAATCCTCTACAGACAGTTGAGATAAGCAGATCAGGTTCCACTGTTTCCTGGAAAAAGCTCCTGGAACGGGGTGAGAAAGTAACTGTTTTGTTAAAAAAAATTGGCTGCAGTAACCAAATTTGACCGCAGAATGTACTTCGTACTTCATTCTTAGGTAATGCACCTTTAATTATTTTGCATTTTGATGCATCAAAAAAGCCAAAAACAAAAGAAGTCGTAAAAAAACCAACAATCATTACGTTTGTTTAAGTCTGGCAAAACGAAACGGACTCCAAATATATTAATGTTCAAATCAGAAATCTCTGCAGTTTTCTTGTATTTTTCAACTTATTTATTTTAACTTGAACAAGATAAAACAAACTGAGTGAGACAGGAACCAAAAACTGAGACATTGTCTTTTGTGCTGAATGAGAAGCTGAACTGAAAGCTCCTGATCTACGGGTTCATCATTTCACCATGTAAAATGTAAATAGTAACATCCTGAATACGAGCAGCTGAATTGATCTTGCTCTGTAGGCTGAACGGGCTCTACCTTAGACTAAAGGTGAGGAGATCCGTTATCTGGGAGGAGACTGGAGTAGAGCTGCAGCTTCTACCCACCAAAGAAAGGTCATGTGAGGTGGTTTAGACCTCTGATCAGAATGACTCTTGAGGTCTACAGGTTATACCCCATTAGAATAAGATTCCAGGACAGACCCTGAACATGCAGTTCAGAGAACAACTGAGGATCTCCTTGAAGCAACTGGTGAGTCCTTCCAGGAAGAAGGATTCCAAAGTTTCTCTCCTAGTCATGTTGCTTTTCATTTAACTAATTCACTGCCAGACGTTTCTTGAACGGTAAAGCCCTTAGCTGCCAGCGTTTCTCACCATTTTTACAGTTTTTTTTAAGATTCACAGAACGTTGCGCGCTAGGATGATGTAGATGCCAAAACAACCAAAACAAAGCGGAGACTCACCTCTTACATCTGGAAGAATCTGCACGTTTCGAGCTTTATCCGTTCTTTCATAATCCGTTGTTGAATTGTGATCGACAGACACTTTTCCGGTTCACGCCTCACCTGTTTTTACAGCAGCGGCCCAAAACGATCTCCTAACACATGGATTTTCTGCTTCCTGATCACGTGACGTGTGACGTACGCGGATGAAGGTAAAGTAAAAAAATGCAAATGAAGACTTTGTCATTGGCAGTGAACGGTTGGATTTAAAATTACAATTAAGCACCGATCTTAAAGTAAAAGTTCACAATCCAGATGGATTCGAAAAAACAACAACTAAACTTGGTCTTTAAGATTTTGAAAATCAGGACGCTGTTGTCATCTTGGGATTAGCTGATTGGATAAATGCATAAGAAACCAGGTTAGTCCAAGTTCTTGAAGGATTTTTCTCTTTGCTCATGCCAAAGTGGCTGCTGGTCTTGTTCTTGTTTTCTAGTCCTCATGAAAGTAAACTTGATGTGATGATTTACATGCAGATGACCTTTTGACATGCTTGCAGGGTTTGTTACCAAGAGCCGTCAGTAACATGAAACAGGCTGTTTCTGACTGAGGATGATCAATAACCGCCAGGAGGAGTTTTAAACAGCTGCTTGTAATATCCTGTCTCAACCTGTAAGTAGTTTTCATGTGTTCATGTGTGATTTAAAACTCATACAAAAACAAATCAGAAATCAGATGTTCTTCAATGGTCCGTTTATATTTTTGGAGCAGTTGCAATCTGTTTGAGGCAATAGAAAGATTCACAATTGTCTCTTTAAAACACATTTGGTCTAGCAACAAAAAAGGTCACCGACGTTATATCTCCATACAGGTCTTATAGTCAGGTTTTCTGCCTAAGGATCACAAAGACATACAGAATGTTGTCAGTTTCCAGATGCATACTAACAAATACAGCACATCTGTTTCTGTTCTTTTCTTTTTTAAATCCAGTGTGTGTTTGTGGGGAGCACTTGCATCACGAGTCGTTGTTCAAGCTTTGGAAGATGACCCCCTAAGACTTCTAAAACAGCAGTGGGTAGGGAGGGCCGGGGTCTGTTGTCATCCTCTACAATTAAGTCCTGATGATAAATACTTATGCATTTTATTTTTTTACTTTTAGACACGATGGGATCAACTGAACTCCCACCTGATAATCTGCTAACACACTGGAGAGGTGGCCACTGTAAAAATACAGACGTGTTGGTAATACTTCTCTGGATGTAGCACCTTTTTGGACTGACAAAGCGGATCCCCGGGCCCCGGTCTATTCTACTCCACATAGCAACAACATTACTACACAAAGTTGACGATTTAGTGTGTTGACCAGAAAAAAGAAGATGTGAACAAAATGCCTACATGTAGCTGTATTTTTTTGTATTTTTTAATACAAGCCTTTAACCCCATAATGTTGCTGCTATTAGTGACATCCACATCTGCACATAAAAAGTATATATTTATATTTATATAATATATATCCATACTCTATTAACAGATTTGTCTACCATGAAGTTAGGATTGCCACCCATCTCTCAAAAAAGTGTTTCAATTTTTTTTCGTACTTTAAACATTGATTATTTTACAACACAGAAGTCTACTAATTTTGTACAACGTTCAAGCAAGTTAAGCTCCGCCCAGTTTTGCTGCCCCTTGGGGTTTTCTTTCTCCAGTTTTTGCCCCTCGTTTAAAAAAAACTTAATCCTAGTGTTCACTTGTTCTCAGCAAAACACGTTTAAGAAAACCAAACAGAAAACAAAGCATGTACAAACTGGCATCAAGGATGTTTAGCTGAAAACCTTCAGCTCTATTTGGACCCTTTTATAATGCACCCTAAACGTCCCCCCATTTAGCTGAGGGGGGGAAAAAACGCTTGTTTGGCACGGTTATTTACACAATGAAGGACAGGTCACTAGAAGGAAGGGCTCCCCCTGAACAAAAAGAGAGGATTTGTGACGTTAATACAAAACAGATAAGTACCAAAACATGTAAGTGAGCCTAGAAAAGTAAAGCAAGTGGAGCAGAAGATGCTGCTCGTGTTTAAACCTCTCGGTAGACGTTCTGGCAGCTGGTACCATCATCAAAGTAGGAGCACCGTGACCCGGCGTTTCACAACCAGTGTTTCACATTTGGAACAAGTAGACGGGCGAGTTAGGAGTGCATTACGCGTGATATTAAACGAGGAGTGTGAGGCGAAAGGCCAGACATGACACAGAAAATAGTGCAATGTACAAGGACACAATGCATCTCTGTGAATGTACACCAAATACTTTACAATCAGGGTTTAAAAAAGTAAAAACACAACCAAAGAAAAGAAGAGAAATAAAAAGTGTTACAAATGATCAAGAAGTCCAGAGGTGTTCTCCGCCCGGAGGAGGATACATCGTGATGAGAAACCAAAGTTTGCATGATGTACTGCATGTCCTACGGCTCTGCTTCTTGTGCTTCACGTTACTACAAGCCATGTTGCTATACCACATATTTACAGGGATAAACCAGGCTTCTCTGACACATTCCGTTTTGCTTCCCTTTGGAGTCTCTTTTCCTCTTTCACCATTCCTTATAATCTTTACTTGTTTGGCGACGTCGCACCTCCAAGTTTCCCCACAGACAGCCTCGCCATACCCGTCTCTATTACGTTCTTTAGCCAAAAGCCTCCTGGCCCAGATGTCTTTCCTCCATCTCTCACAGTTTTGGATCTTGAACTGAACACAGAAACAAAATGTGTGTCAGATCGGTTGGTAGTGTGCATGCACATGCGTGGCTGCTCTTCCGGTCTGTTTTTGCCTCCTCTTGCTCCTTCCTCCACGACTCTGAGAGGAGACTTATGTCCCGTCCACGTGTCTCTGTTTCTTGTGCTCCGTCCTTCCTCTGTCCTGTCTATAATGCTACTCAGAAACTACAGGGGAGGATGAGGAGGGTGAGAAACTGTCCTCCCAGATCTCGTTCCACCCTTCAACTATGCTCACTTTCTGTTTTGTATTCCATCCTTCATCTTGTCCTCCTCCTCCTCCTCCTCTTCCTCCACCCTTGTGTCCCTTCAGACCCAAGAGTCTGGTGAGGCTGGATAGTGGCTGGTCTCGTAGTTGAGCTCACTGTACGGCCGCGAGGCCGAGTAGAAGTCTACATAGTTCCCGGTGGACTTGAGGCCCTGCAGGTGCATATTGAGATCCCCCTGTGGTGGCCGACCTCCTGCGTGAACCTGGTTCTCGTAGAAGGCCTGATCCTCGTAGTTGCCATTGTCAGTCGGGGGAGGGTTTTGGAAAGGAGGGTAGGGCTCCGATTGTAAGCCTTGTGAAGAAATCTGGAAGGGAAGCAAAAACATTACAGGCATTGTTGATTAGCTGTCTGAAACAAATTAAGCAGTGATTTGAATGAATCTTCCTCTGTATTGTCTCTCTTTGTCTCTTTTTGTGGCAGACTCTCAGTTTTCCCAGATTCACAAGCCCCCTAAAGTCCCATCGTTAATAAATCGTACTGAGCGTACTTTGATCGGGGTTCAACGCTTCTTCTAAAGGGCAGTTCTCCAAGAGTGTGGCTTCAGGCGAAAAGCTGTGTCAAAAAGCTTTGAGAACAAAAACACAATTATCAATAGTTCAGATTTGCAATCCTTATGAGATGATTTAGATTCATGTGACAGCCGAAGCGTTGGCCTAGGCTGTGATAAGTCTTCCCTCGCTTTGACACCGGCAGCAGGCGCAACCAACGCCTCAACCAAATGCAAGTAAAGCAAGGCAGCCATGATAAGCATGTGTGTGCGCATAATTAAAAGCAAGCGTATTCCAGTGAGAAAAGACCTTTTCCTGATGATGTTTGATTTGCCCAGTTCTCTCCTTCTGAATTGATCATTTTGACACCTCCGTAGTGAACAAACAAAGCATCTCCACAGGCAAACGGCTCAGAACAGATTAAATGAGAGTGAACTCCAGATTTACTGACTTTTTTTTACTTCTAGGTTCGGACTCTTGATTTCTTCATATCTTTTTATACCTCCATTTATAAATATTATACAGTCTGATCACAAGATTAATTTATGATTTCGTCTAACTGGAAGTTTTTTAATGTTTTCCGATTGTGGTAATAATCCTACTCAGATTAAGGGCTTTTCCAGATTGACGAGAAGCAGTGTTTGATCTCTAAAATTATTCCTGTTATCTTTTTATTTCCCAACTTCATCAGACACATCTAAATGTTTAAAACCACCAAACTACTGCTTTACATAAGCATTCGACTTTATTGAAGATCAATGCTTTTGATTAGCGGAACTAAAACCTGTTCAAAACCAGCGGGTTCATTTAAAAGGGAACATGCTTTCTTATTCTTAATTTCATCAGTGAATTCCGTTTATCGCTTAATCTGATAGTATAAAGGATTACAGCTGTGAGCATGAAGTTTTATACAAAAGTGAGAAAGTTTGAAGCCCTACCTGATTATACTTTAGGTCATCAGTAGGAGACACATATGCTCCTCGATGAAGAGTCGAAGATCCACCAGAGATTTGTCCTGCAGTGACAGAGAAGATAATTGAGATTGAGACTTGTTCTAAGGAGCTATTCAAATCAAAAAGGTGGCTGTTTATTATTTCAAGCCTATTGTGTTTCATTGTAATCATTAGATATTTCAGAAGGACAATGAAAAGACTCATTTGCCACAAAATCACAAGAAACCCGACAGTCGCAAAGGAAGCAGGAAATGTATCCAAGTGTTTTCAATTAAGCAAACCTGTCTTGTTTTTTTAACTGTTTATAAAAATAAACAATTTTAATGATTGAGTCCAAAAATGTCTCTCTGTCGAATACGTATGAGAGCAGGATTTATTCTCCCACTGTTCATAACGTATCCTCCCAAAACTCTGACTGCACACGTGTAACGAGTGTCTGTAAAAGATCTGTGACTCTTTCTGTCTCCAGACCCGTTACTCCGACTGAGCACAGCCACTCCTGGGAAAAAAGAAGAGTGTCTTTGTGACAGACATGCAAAATGGAAATCCTACCCGCCATGGCGTCCTTCCGGGACGTGTGCTCGCCCTTGTTGCCATGGAAACTGGCATTGCCAGTCGACTCGTAGTCTGCCTTTCTCTCCTTCAGTGCCATCATCTCTCTTGGGGATGCAGGAGCACTCGCTACATACGTGCACAAACACACACACACACACACACACGGAATATCTTTACCTTTACCTTCATTAACATTTTATTATCACACAGGAGGGACAACAAGTATTTACAACATTCTAAAACCTGTTCACGGCAGAAAGGTCGGGGTGCGTCGTTCCTCTGCACGTCTGAGCTGCTGGTTTTACTCTCAGCTGAAGCTCGGAACTCTGAGGCTTTTCTAAAAAGTAATATTGCCTCTACGGTTTGTGCTATGACTCAGTTGGTGAGAGACATTTGTAACAGATCTTTACTTTTGGACAACTGTGTGATTTCAAATACTGAGCATGGACGTAATTTTGGGGGGGGACAGGGGGGACATGTCCCCCCCACTTTTCCCAAAGTCAAGTTTTGACCCCTGCACTTTTTACCATCCAAAAACAATATTACACTATATTAAATTGACACTGGTTGAGCTCTAGGACCAAGCAGAAAACAACCGTTTGTGCTGAAGCCGGTTTTCCATTAGAACATACTGTAAAGATACCCCCCACCCCCGTGTCCCCCCCACTTCTAAAGTGAAAATTATGTCCATGATACTGAGTCATTCCTTCTGCATGTTTTGAAATAAAACACTGATACGAGGGGATGAGTGGTCTAGTGAGCCACGCCGGTGGAAATCCTGCTCTCTTTCAGAACAATGCAGTATGATCAACAGGCTTTCACATGAAGCAGCCAGTCTGTGGGGCTGCCTCTGCCTCTTTGTGTCTCTCCTATATGTTATAAAGTAGTTAACATTGATTCAGATGCTCTGTAATGCTCGGTGATAATATCACCAGTCCATCAGTTTTCTGTCAGCGACTGCTGTTGAAATGAGTTCATTGCTGAAGCTGTACCACACAATGGAGCGTTTATATCCGAGTGTGACCTCAAAGGACTACCTGTGTCTATATGTAAACTGGGAACTGTAATTAATAAAGATGTCAAATTTACTTTTAAATTAAAGGCAAAAGTAACATATACGATAATCCCTATGATTAAGTGAATCCATTCAATCATCAATCTTACCATCAAAGGGACCCTGAGTTGCTCGATAGTGGACCTCTTCCCTTACCAGTTAAGTGGAATTTATTCAAAATAATTAGACTAAACTTCACACACACACACACACACACGCACGCACGCACGCACGCACGCACACACACACACACACACACACACACACACACACACACACACACATATGCTTGTACTTCGTGGTAAAGATTTGTTTTGAATGTGATTTTTTTAGCTAAATATACTAAATGTAGCTGTAAACTGAGGTTTTTCTAAATGTTTGTGGGAAAAAAATTATAATGCACCTTTTAAATACATTTAATTGATCTGATTCTTTGGCTCCACAAATAGCAAAGACGTTACACATGGTCAGAAAGTTTCATCAGTCCAGGACCATTAATTTCCCTCTCAGATTAACAAAGTATCTTTGAACCATTAAAGATGCATTATGTAAGAATGAAGCAAGAATTACCTCATGTGGTCAAATTTGGGTACTGCAGCCCATTTTCTAAACAAAACTAGTCGGCTGTTGCCAGTTACGAATCAGCGCCAGAAGATTCTAGAAGACGAGTCATACACGGTAAATTGATAAGTATAAAAATATATTTCACTGTAATAGTGATATTTTGATAATTCATTAGTAGCTTAAGACTTTTTTAGAGCCAACAATTTGTTTATAATTCATTGTTAGCAGTGTTAGCTCAACGTTAGCTTCTAGCCTTTTACACTCGATATTAGAGTAAAACAAAAAGATGCCGTGGCTTCTTACTACGTGTCTTTTTGTCAATATTTAAAGGAGAAAAACTAACAACCCCCTGCTGGCTGAGAGACATTAGACTGTTTTATGAATATTTCACTGTGAAATTTGTACTTATTGTGCCTCTAAGACCTCAGAGACTCATATTATTCAAAGACTAAATTTGACAACACAAGGGCGGGAAACTTTCTTAATGGGTTTGGAGCAAGGATTTTACCTGACAGCACAGTAATTTGTCAGTAGTCGCTGCAGTGTGAAGGTGAAAGCCGTCTTGAGCTATAAAGGAGCAGCGTTCGTTTGACTGGACTCTGCCAGCAAAGAAGGATGGGGGTTAAAGGGAAAGACAGGAGAGGGGGAGGTGCAGACTCACCTGATCGATTGTTGGGGGAAGTCCGCACCGGAGAGATGGAAGGAGTGCGAGAGGAAGAATAAGGTCGCTGTCTGTCTCGCTCTATTGTGGAGGAGGAGCCAACAAAATGGTACTGAGAATAACCATCCTGAGGTAAGATGGAAAGAAAAGAGATGAGAGGCTTCGGAGATATCGCTCCATTCGCATAGCTTCCAGTCATATTCATGATGAAAACACCCACATGACGGACATGTTTAGTGTTTTACTTCCAGACGAAGGCTGTACCTTTTTGTAAAGACTGCGTAGGTCTCTGTACTGCCACATGCTGTTCAGGACTTGAGACGCTGCTTTCACCACTTTGGGATTATGTCTGGGAATTCAGCAGAGAGCAAAAACACACAGCGTAAAGCTTCACCGTACGTTTGATGTTTGCTGCAGGTTGGGGTTGTAAAACCAGCCAATGTTGTTAATCATCAGCTCGCTACACCTTCAATCACAGACAGCCACATTGTTTCAGTCGTCAGATATAAATTGATTTAGGCCAAACACGCAAAACTGTTTTTCTGATTGATTAACTGGTTAATATTTCACCCTGCTTCCTCCATGCTCTGACTCGACTGATGGATGTGAGTTTAATTGGCTCATATGCCATTATCGGCATCTGGGAAATTAAACTTTATTTCTCTGAGACATTTTAGTAAATGCTAATGTTTTGAATTCCGGGATGCCAGAGACGCAAAGCAGGGAGCCAGTGAGAAATTACCTTTATTTTTTGGCAATTGTGCATCATCATGATAATTTTAAATCTTTGGGTGTGACAGTTGGGAACAATTTTGCCTCAAATGATGTCTCAGGCAAGTGCCATTTGGCTGATTTGCATCTTCATCTTAGAGAAACACAACACTTCAGTCATTTGTTGATGGCTGAGAATCAAAGCCGAGTGAATTCAAACATCTATAACTCACACAGATTTCACCATATTACAATAAACAGAAGTGAACTTTTTTGTCCCGATTATGATAGAAATGGAAACTTCAACTACTTAGACGTTTGTCATGAAACCTGCTGACATCTAAACCAATAAACCTTTTTTGCTTGGTAAAGTTAAGTTACACCAGTTTCTATCCATGCTCCACTGGAACTTCCTCCTGCTTCATTAGGTTTCATCAGTTGATCCGTTCAGTACATTTAGCCTGTTTTTGACACCATTTTAAATTAGATTGTACCAACAATTCCAACAAAACAAACAGGGTTTTTAGTAGCTCTTCTCCTGAAGTGCTGAACCTTGTTTGGAAGATTGACGTTTTTTCTTCTTTGTTTACACTCTTCGCTAACGAACGTCTTCCCATTTGGCTTACTTGTCTCCCTTGCTGCGGGCGATGCCGATGAGCTTCTCGATGCCACCAGCGTCCCTCAGGGCTTTGGTGTTCTCCATGTTCTTTGTGATGACCTCATGCAGCGCACAGCATATAGCCGTGATGGTGTCGTCCGACATGGTCTTCCCCACCAAGCTGCTGCTGTTGGCATTTCCTCCTCCCCCACTACTGGTGTTGTTGTTGTTGCTGCCTCCAGGCAAACGGTGCACCAGGTCCCTCATAGCATATTTACCTGTAGAGGTGGAGGTAAACATGAGGAGAGGGAAGGGAGAAGAAATTAAAGTTGAAGATTGAAAATCTTGAAAATCTTAACTATTTGGAGACTTATTTCCTGGTATTTGGACATCTGGCCTCTGATTGGACAACAGCAGCTCGACTCTACCACTGACTCTGTTCGTTTTGCAAAGTTGAAGTTTTATCTCCACAAATACCACAAGCCTGAAGGAGTTCTGCCATGTGGTGGAGTTGCTAATGGTTAGCTTTTGCTAGTCGAGTGGTTCTCTGCTGTTTCCTGGACACTAAATCAGCACCTTGGGCTTCCCGACAGGGTCGCGGAAGGCGCTTTATAAATAAAGCTTTGATTGATTGATTGATTAAATCAACAACAGCCTTCCCTATCGTGAGTAAAGATGGGTGAGTCCATGAACATTAAGTGACAGTGTGACATAGATCTTTCAGGTTTTTCAAAGTCTAGAATTTCACCATCGATTTTCTAGCTGAAGCTAATGCAGGAGATAGGTGTAGGAGACTATTTTCATGTTGATGCACGTTCTTGACAAGAGCGAGTGAGGCATCGACTCACTGATTCACACCACCAGGATCTACAGCACTGATATCAGAATATCATTCAGACTTTAAAAGTGTGGTCGGATGATGACAAAGAAAGGGAAGGTAGTCCACACAGAAGGGGTCTCACTCCCAGAAGGAACAGCAACAGACATTGAGGACAGCTGGAAGTACCTTGGTATCCCACATGTAAATGGCAATCTCAATGAGGCCGCAAGAGAAGGAGCCACAGACAAACGTCGACAAAGAGTAAGGCAAGTCCTTAGAAATCAGCTCAATGCCAAAAACAGGATTCGGGCAGTCAACAGCTACGCCCTGCCAGTAATACGATATCCTACAGGAATAATAAGCTGGCCAAAGGAAGAAATACAAACCACAGATGTTAAGACAGAAGCTCCTAACCATGCAGGGTTCCATCCCAAATCCAGTACACTAGCTGTAAGGAAAGAGGCCAAGGACTAGTATGTGTCAGAGCCATTATCCAGGATGAAACATCCAAGACTCATAAGCACGTCAAGGACAAGACCCTAACAGATGACATGCTCAGTGAATGTCTTAGACAATGGCGAACAGAGGAGGAGATGCTGGAAATACCATTGTGGAAGGACAACCCCCCCCCCCCCCCCCACCCCCCCCCCCCCTCCACACACACACACACATGGGATAAATCACAGACAGATAACTGAAATGGCTGATATCAAGAAATCCTACCAATGGCTAGAAAGAGCTGGTCTGAAGGACAGCACAGAGGCTCATCATGGCTGCACAGGAACAAGCCCTGAACAGCAGAGCAACAGAGGCCAAGATCTACCACACCAGACAAGAACCAAGGTGTAGGCTATGCAAAGAGGGCCCTGATACAATCCACCACATAACTGCAGGGTGTAAGATGCTGCCAGGGAAAGCATACATGGAACGCCACAACCAAGTGGCTGGCATCGTGGACAGAAACATTTGTGCAGCGTATGGACTGGAAGCCCCAAGGTCAAAGTGGGAACACCCCCTAAGGTGGTTTAGAATGAGAGAGCCAAGCTCGTGTGGGACTTCCAGATCCAGACTGACAAAATGGTGATGACGTACCATTCGGACATTGGGGTGGTGGACAAACAAAGAGGACAGCCATTGTTGTTGATGTGGCAATACCAAGTGATGGCAACATCAGGAAAAAGGAACATGAGAAACTAGTACCAGGGCCTCAAAGAAGAAGTTGAGAAAGCCTGGAGAGTGAAGACATCCGTGGTGCCCGTGGTCATCAGAGCACTCGGGGCCGTAACCCTCAAACTGAAGGAGTGGCTAAAGCAGATCCCAGGAAAAACATCAGACATCTGAGTACAGAAAAGTGCAGTTCTAGGAACAGCTAAGATACTGCAAAGAGACCCTCACGCTACCAGGTATCTGATGGAGGACCTGAGCTTGAAAGGATGTGAACCCCCATGGAGAGTGAGATGAAATGTATGTATGTGTATACATATATATCTATATCTATATCCATCTCTCTCTCTCTCTCTCTCTCTCTCTCTCTCTCTCTCTCTCTCTCTCTCTCTCTCAATATATATATATATATATATATATATATATATATATATATATATATATATATATACATTATTTTATTTTTTTCCATTTTTTACAAGAGATTTCTAATAGTTACTACTACTACTATTTCTACTACTACTACTACTACTACTACTACTACTACATATTCACAGTTAATTTTTGTTAAAGGAAAAAAAAGGCCAAACTGTCAGAACAGCTGACAGACACTGATGGGGCCGTGGCCTCATGGTGATCTGACACAGACTGACTACATTTCCCATGACACTCGAGTAATTCTGTCAAGAAATCTTGTTCTCTGTGCCCCGTGGTCCCTCATTCTGATCGGGTCACCACCCTGAGTTGTGGTGGGGGTGGTGATGGTGGGTGAGGGTGTGCTTAGGGGCGGTGGGCCCATCACGTCTAACTGACAACTTACACTATTTGTGTTTTCATGCTGTATACATTCTACAGCTCCTCACATTGTCTCTTGCACACACACACACACACACACACACACACACACACACACACACACACACACACACACACACACACACACACACACACACACACACACACACACACACACACACACACACACACACACACACACACACACTTAAGTGCAGATCTTAATCGAATTTCTTATTCTGAAGCAATGGAGCAACAGCTGGCTTACAGCAGAGCCGTCGCTGACGACAGCTTTAATATTTACCGCCGAGAGCTCTGTGGACAACAATCTGCCAAGACACAGTTTCATTTTGTGACCACTGCACAACTCAGGGCAAGACAGCATGCTCTCCCAAAAACACAAATGCGCGCACCTCGGCAGCACAATAAAAAGAATAAACGAGGACCTGACATTACCTAGCCTACGTCCTCAGAGGACATCGGCGGCTGCCTTCACAAACTAAGACATCACACAGTTTAGCTCAAAGCCAAACGCTCCAAACAGAGTAAATAGAAAAAGACGGGGTAGTTGCCATGGAGACCAACAGAAAAGCAGAGTTTATTACAGGCATCAGTCTCCAAAGGGGAAAGAAAAAAAAACACAATCCAGCATCAAGCAATCAGTCAGAGCAGCTATACAGCCTGTCAGATGCTATCTGCATGTATGTTGTCAAATACTCTGAGTAGGCTTTTTCTTATTTTCCACTAATAAAGCACTAATCCACCTTACATAGCACATTTAGCTGCTCTGCTAAAAGTTTCCCTCTGTGCAAAGTGACTGTACGGTCTCCACTGCAACATTTTTCAGTCAGGGTGTAACTGAACTGGTTTTAAGTAAAACGTGGCGCTAGAAGAAAAATTGTTCAGATTTGAAGTGACTCGGTTTTACTCTTCGCAACAATATCAAGTACTAGGAATATTCCGTTTGACTTATTTAGAAAAACAAAGTCCCACTGGTAGGAATGTGTGATGCATAATTTAAATGTTCCAAACTGCATGTGTGACTGAACCACTCACCGATCAGCTCCTTGTTCCTAATGTCTAGAGCCATGTTCCTCAAGGCGGTAGCCACGGCACAAACCACCCGATCGTTGTCTATCCTCAGCAGCTCCACCAGGATGGGCAGACCTTTCTCTTTCCGTACTGCCGCTCGGATGTAGACGGACCACTGGGAGACAGGAGGTGGACAGAGAGGGCAGCAGACAAGTCACTCAATGACAATATTATCTATAAATGTTTCTACGCTACCATTCAAGCATTCATTTGAACCCAGATCTATCAGATGTCTTCACATTAAGACTTAAAGCTTCAGCATATTTATATAGTTATATAATGTTTTTCACCCAACTATCCTAATTTTTGAAGGAATTTGACTTTTCCTGCTTGGATTTATGCCTCTGGAGCCACTTTTTGGGTAAATATGAGAAATTTGAGTCCTTGTTGCAGATGCTCTTTAACATGACAATAACACCCAGCTCTTACCTTCCAGCTGCCAGCAGCCAGGTTCTGCAGAGCCCCAGCTGCTCCCTCCAGGGTGTCTGGATTGGAGCACTCAGACAACAGAGTGAGGTAGGGCTTGACGATGGTGGGGTGCCATAACATCTGGATGCCTTTCGGGGGCTCGGCCAAGTCTGGAAATGGGCCGACGCCGTCCCACTGTGGAAAGATAAGACAAAATTCAGAACGGAGAAGCATTCTGAAGTCTGCATGAGGTGACAGCAGAGTCCCCATGGGCAGAGGCAGGAGAGGAGAGGAAGAGCAGTTACTATTCATAAGCAGCGTATAAATAGGGTCACATTCATGTGTCCTGCCTTTTTGTTTCCCAGTCCCTTCTGTAAACAATATGTGTATTGTTGAGGCAAACATAAATACTATAAATTAGTTACAGGAGTGAAAACGGTTACTCGAGGGATTTCTCTGACTGAGATTGAGCATTTGCATACATCATGTAGTGACAATCATAAGGTATCATGAAGTAGATATACTCTGAAAGGCAAAAACGTACTAAATACATATTTTCTGAGTATCTATGATAACCATTAGAGCCCCCTTACTTAAGGGGGCTGTGATGTGATTATAAATTGTTATCAGTGCATCTTTCTTTTCCACTTCCCTTTGTTTTACTGCTTTGTACTGTTAAAGAAATGCATTTAAATGACCAAGAGAAGTGGGTCTCCCTACAATCAAATCAAATCAAATCAAAGATACTTTATTAATCCCAGAGGGAAATTAGAGTTTCAGTACACACAATTCAGAGATCAGACATACATGGGCAAGACACATGACAAGAATTGGTGACTGTGGTCATTCGCAACCCTGAGTCGTGCTACCTTAATAGAGATAAGAGGGTTACATGAGGATTGGTCCAGGTGGAGGGAATAAAAGGCACTTCAAAGTTACCCTCCACCGGGAGGGCAGCTTTGCTCTGCAAAAAACAACAACACCTCAGATAGATATGCAACAGACTTCAGACAACACAACATAAGTGTCCACTAGGTGGGGTGGTAGGTTGGGGGGGGGGGGCATTGAGGGTTGGAGGGTTGCAGTGACCCTGGACGCTTCGGCGGCCTTCCCGCAGTCCCGCCCAGGCTGGGAAATGAGACAGAGTTGAGTTGCCATAGCGACGGCACATTCCACATATCTTCTGAGGGGGGAGTTTTCGTTGGAGCCTTGCAGGCACAAGGATGCCAGATTCCGATTAGAAATTGTTTTGGGGCCAGACAGAGATAATTTCCTCTCTGTCTTACAGTTTGTTGGTCCTCAACCTCTCAAAATCCCAATAATGGACATGAAACTATCCCAATCCGTGCTGATTTGTCCACTCTATCCTTGATGGCATCCATCTTTTGTGCCAAAGAACGAATCTCCGCCAAAGTTCCAAGCTTACAATTCATCTCGACAATTATGTGAGTCTGTGAATTCACAGGGCGGTGCAAACCATCTCTGAGCTCCGGGATCAGGCCAATATTCCTCGACAGCTCGTTAATTTTCCGGTAAGCCGGGTAGCCTCCAAGGCCAATGAACAGGAAACCTGACACCAACAACACAAATATCCACACGTCTTCAGCGTCCTCCACAGACAGGTGAGATAAACAAATCAAGTTCCACTGTTTCCAGGAGTCCATGATGTGTCCAACTGGGTCTGTCTGGAGGGGCATCCGGGAGCCCCTTCTCCCGTTCTCATCGTTGAAAAAATTTTATCAATCACGTTGGGAGACCAGCTGACGAGATCCATTTAAGTGAATTTCAGTTTCCAGAAAAAATGCAGAAGCAGCCGTGCACCCAGCACACACAGACAGACAAAGGGCCTTGAGGATAAGATATGGTGGAGAGGAGGAAAAAAGCGTCTGCACCCTCCAAGAGCCGGAAGAAGAAGGACAACCACAATAACCCACTACTGTCTGTCTTTGAGCAGCATGTATGGGAATGAGTACAACACTACTGCATTGTGGAAAATTTTCCCCTTTCACGCACCAAAAGTGGAAAAAACAGAATATGTTTATGCATGCTGGCAAAATATCTCATGTACAAGTGGGTGGATTTCAACAAAACAATTCAAGATGGAGACAACAGCTTATATCAGCCACTCAGCAGCAATCAGAAGTTTCAGGAATTATGTAGGATTTTTTGTCTGTAATTGAAAGTCGTACCTGTACTATGATATAATGTAGGTAATACGTCTAATTTTTGCTACGCCCATCCCCGTCTTGTAGAGCCCCATGGAATTCAAATTGAGTGTTGTTCAGCATTATTCAATAGCATGAGACATTCGTTTACGTACAGATGTCAGTCACAGAGGTGCATGAGCGTTTGCAGAAGTAGCTAGACTGATTTTCTCATAAACAAGTAAGTCTTTAAAACATATATTTATATGAATAAAGAGAGTACCATGACAATAAGAATTGAAAAGCAACCCGATTTATCTGTGTTGAACGGCTAGAGGTGTGTGTTCAGAAAGGGGTGTTGCTTTCACGGAAGTAGGGATCGGGGCTTAAAGGTGTCATTATTTTCCTGCCTGTAGGTGGTGTCCTCTGACAAAAAAGTCCAGATTTACGCTCAAACCAACACAAAATCTGTCAAACTTGCAAATATTGAAAAAAAAAACTTGGTGTATCTTAGATTCATCAACTTCACAAACTTTGCAAATTTCGATCAAACGGAAGGTACATCTAGAGTCAATCTTGTTCAAAATAGGAAAACAAAAAACGTTGTAGCTCAGCCTATGCATGAGCTAACAGATCACACCATGTTTGTGGCTCGTGTGAATTTATGCACATCAGTAGTTCACGTATTTGACTGAAACAGCTGCAGCTCTGTCATTCCTCAACATGAGATGATCTTTGTGCAAGCTGTAACTGAAAACTGCGATATGCATTACTTCAGAGAACTGCAGACCTTTAATTTCTGACCTATTTCTGACTAACTCTTAAACCGTATGAACATGTAAAGTGTCACATGAGCCAGCCTCATGCTTGATGTCTCAGATGCATTTTCTATAAATGTTGCTTTTGGTCATTCCGATTACTTTTAATCCTTCTGTCTCTGCAGTTAGTTCTGATTGGTACGTTTTTGATATTTGTGTTTATAATCTGAGCTAGCTGTTAAGTTTTGAGCTGCTGGGAGTTTTTGGATTGATTCTGCTCCTGCATCTTCTTTCCCATCTCGTTCAGTATTTCCTCCCTTCTCTCCTCCTCTAATTGCGTCAACAGTTGATGGAGATTTGTCCTCTTCAACATAGTCCCTAATGGCTGCTTCATGGTAATTGTCCACAGCTGCACTGGAGTGGAGACACAGAGACAGGGATGAGGCAGCGAGGGCCTTTTGTTCTTACTTGGAGAGGTTTTGATTTGTTCTTTTGCAATCTGACATCAGTGTTAGTTTGAAGGTCTTTCATCTTCCTCAGAAAAAAATGAAGGTGAGATAAAAAAGAAGAGTTTAGGTAAAAGTCTGGATTGATGATGCTGTATTTTTGTACTCCTTCTCTGCATTTTCTAGAAATACCAGCTTGTAAAAAGTAAAAAAAAAAAACAAATATTAAGAATGTTGGGCTGATGAGCAATTCACACATTCTGATCCACCGGAAGTGCCGGGTTTTCAATCCACCCAGCTTCAGTAAAAGTGGTAAAAGACGTCCTCCACTTAGCCAGAATGTGATGCTGATTGCTTATTAGCATGAAAAAAGGTTAGCGCCGTCTCCGAGGCACTAGTTTAGTTTCAGCCAAATCATAAACCCAAAGAACTCTCGTCCGGTTCTTCGGCGATGTGGAGGATTAGACTCAAAAAATCCTGAAGGAATCGCAGAATCAGCTTTGGATTTGTGAGCCTCATCACACCTGTGATGTAGCATTTTTCTGCAGATAATACTCTAGATGAAGGTCAGTCCAAAAGAGAACAGGTCCAGATAAACCCATATGTGTCTCCAAAACAACAAATACAGGACAAATATTTCTGAACTGGACAATTAAAACAGATTTAATCTGCACTGAAATTGTGAGAGAACAAGTCTGTAATAGGAATAAATGCCCCTGGGCCCGAGTTCTAACCCATCAAATAAATCCATAACATGTAACGAGTCCCAGTTTGGAACAAAATAAAAAACAATTATGTTTTATGTTCTTGGTGAGTAAAATAAACGTTTATGTCTTCGATAAAGCTCTATAGCCTATCAAATTAATGTGGAAAGACATGATAAGCATAGAGGGAAAAGAAAATAGGAGGTGAAGAGAAGCAAAGTTTGAAAGAAAAGTCAGAAATATGATTTTCTTTAAATTGCAACAGACAACTGAACCATGAAAAAACAGAACCTGCTTTATGTTGGTCCCTGAGAGAATCAATCAAATCAAATCAAAGATACTTTATTAATCCCAGGGGGAAATTAGAGTTTCAGTACGCACAATTCAGAGATCAGACATACATGGGCAAGACACATGACAAGAATTGGTGACTGTGGTCATTCACAACCCTGAGTCGCGCTACCTTAATAGAGATAAGAGGGTTACATGAGGATTGGTTCAGGTGGAGGGGAAAAAAAGGCACTTCAGTGTTACCCTTCACCAGGAGGGCAGCTTTGCTCTGCAAAAAAACACCTCAGACAGATATGAAACAGACTTCAGACATTACACAACATAAGTGTCCACTAGGTGGGGTGGTGGGTTGGTAAAGGGTAAAGGGACTGAATGGCCCTTAACAGAAAGCCACCCAACCCATACTCCTGGAGCGTCCCCCACAGGGTGCCCCTGGGGACACGGTCATAAGCCTTCTCCAAATCCACAAAACTTATGTGGATTGGTTGGGCAAACTCCCATACCCCCTCCATCACCCTTGCAAGGGTATAGAGCTGGTCCACAGTTCCACAGCCAGGACGAAAACCTGAGATTCAACTATCGATCGGACCCTCCTCTCCAGTACCTTGGAGTAGACCTTTCCAGGGAGGCTGAGGAGTGTGATCCCCCTATAGTTGGAACACACCCTCAGATCACCCTTCTTAAAGATGGAGACCACCACCCCGGTCTGCCAGTCCACAGGAACTGCCCCCGATGACCACACAATGTTGCAGAGATGTGTCAATGATAATAATAATAATAATAATAATAATAATAATAATAATAATAATAATGATAATATTTCTAAAATTCACCTTGATCTTAATCAAGGTCACCTTGATTATCTGTACTAGACAAGGGGCAAACTGCAGTTCCTTCTTCATCCACTAGGGACTGGCTCCAGAAAGGAGCAAGTTCCCTTTGACTGCCATGTTAAAAATGCCAACTTCGCATCAATGAACATGTCTGGTTAACAAAACTTTTTAGGTTTAATAGGTCAAGTTTATTGTCATGGCGACTCTGAGTGGGGTGGAGTTTTTGTAACTCTTTTGTTTAGGTGAAATTAAAGTTAGAATATGGAACATTTTTATAAAAAGCTATATTTTTAAAAACAATAATATCTCCACAGGGCGTTCAGAGGCGTGCAGAATGAATGTACAGTTTCTCCTTGTAAAGCTACTATATTTATAAAGATAAATATTCTGTCGGGCACGACAGTGTGTTTATGTTTACATCTAACAGCCACTAGAGGGCATTGTAGCACTAAAAAGTCCACTCAGCAAGGCGAGGCTGGGACTGTGAAAAATGGCAGACTTGACAAGCCAAGCAGCTGATTCTGAGCCCTGTTCTAAATGTGAATACTGTAGTAAAATAAACATATTAGTAGAAATTAGTCCTTATTCTGTATGATTTGTCTCTGAACATGGTGCTGGAACGTGTCAACAGTGATCCAACATCTCAGCGGCTGAAAAATCAATCCTGTTGTTGCAATACCATCTCTGAACACCAGAGTTCACCAGATTGTCTGTGTTCCATGGTCAACCTTAAAAGCTTGAAAGTATTAATATATAGAGGGTGTGTCCTGTTGATTGACAGGTAGCATATTAGTTGCTGGCTCACCCCACTGCTTGCTCCAAAAAAGACCTTCGCCTCACATTAAAAGTGTTACAGCCCAGAAGGTAGAGGGTAACAGAGACATTCACCTGCAGTTTTCTTGCTAAAAGCACCTGCTAAACTTCATTAGCTTTGGTTTGCTAAGTTAGCTTGTAGCTACATAGTCTCAGAGTTTGATGGGTGCCAGTCATCTGCCCCACCTTCAGAGCCTCGCTCTCAGATCCATTTGTGTGTTTTTTGAGAGTGACGAGTTGTGTGACAGGGTCAAGATGGTGGGAAACGCCCACTGGACTTCAGTTCAGCTCTTCAGAAAGCTGGTGATGTCACAGAGGCTGTGTCTATGGTGACAGATCATAGTTCAGTGGAGACTTCCCTGGTGAAGCAAACCCTCATTATGATGCCGATTAACATTTAATCCATTTATGGACATGACAATCCCATCATTCTGTGAATTAAATTGGTTTTCATTGCATCATAAAGATTTTTTGTGCTTCTTCTGTCGCATTCATATTGAAAATGCAAAAATATGCATGCGAAACGTACTGATTTATACAGATGTTACAAAATAAAAACATCATGTTTTGATAGGTTGTTGTTGGATGAGTCGTTTAGTCGTGATCAAATGTTTTAAGTCTAGTTGAAATATTTAAACACTGCAGCTGATATTTGCTTTTTTCATCGTAAGCTTTGGAGAACACGTCAGCTTCAGTGCAAAAACGTGGTTCTACAATAAAAGTTTTGCAACCTGGATATGTCTGGAGGCACTGAAGAAATGTTCATGAATAAATAAAGGCTTGTTTGCAGAGAAAATGAGTAGGGATCAGACCAAACATTTTATTAGAGTTCTGCTCACAAAATGGATGAAGAAAAAACAACTTATTGCTCTTTTTCACCATTAAAAAAAAGACGTAGATCCCACAAAACACTTGAAAAATCCAGATATTTCATCGGTCAGATGAAGTGAGTGCTCACCTGATCATGCCCCTTCTTTTTCTTCTTCTTTTTGCCCCAGCATCCAGAACTCTCAGCGTCTTTTCCTCCGGTGTCACACAACAGACCGTCCAGCTCCTCGGACCCGCTCTGCTGGCTGTGAGAAGTCTCCGCCGCCAGACGGTACGACAAGTTCCTCAAGATGCACACGCTGTTCTCCACAGTCTGAACGGGAGAAGGTCAGGGAGGAAATAAGGACAAGACAGAGACGAAGGAAGAAACGACACAACAGAAACACACACACACACACACACACACACACACACACACACACACACACACACACACACACACACACACACACACACACACACACACACACACACACACACACACACACACACACTCACAAATGACGGATGCCTGTGTCTGTAACTAGAATTTAAACACACACACACACACGCACGCACGCACGCACGCGCGCGCACACACACACACACACACACACACACACACACACACACACACACACTAGTCCTATTGTAATGAAAGGCTGTGCATTCAACAGTTGCACACTTTGATGTTGTAGAAGATGTTTTATTAGATGAAGATTAGATGAAGAGCACCAATCACATGTAAAGTTACACGTTTCTGTATTTATGCTTTTCATGAGATCATTGTTTGTGTGCGTCTGCTTGTATCTATGTTTGTGTCAACTGTTTAGATGTGTGTGTGTGTGTGTGTGTGTGTGTGTGTTACCTTGCTGTCAATCTCACTGCTCCCTAGAGCGGTCTGAATGATGTAGAGCAGAGCGTCTGTTAGGCCTTCACACTCCCTCATCCTCCTCCGAGCTTCCTCACCAGCAGAACTTACATTCCTGTTACACACACACGCACGCATGCACGCAGGTACGCAGGCACGCGCACACACACACACACACACACACACACACACGCACGCACGCAGGTACGCAGGCACCCGCACACACACACACACACACACGCACGCACGCAGGTACGCAGGCACCCGCACACACACACACACACACACACACACACACACACACACACACACACACACACACACACACACACACACACACACACACACACACACACACACACACAAACAACTCATCAATAAAAAAACAACTAAACCCTGTGTGTTTTCCTCACTCTGACGGGCCCAGACGTTTCACGCACCTTCTCCTTATGTGAGCCCAAGTGTTTAATAACCCAGACGGTGTTTTAGGTGTTTCCTACTAAGACAGAACTCTATTGTCCCCTCCACCTCTCCCTAAGTGTGGCATCCTCCAAAGCAATAAACATCAGTCTAGAATGAGAAGGCAAATAAACATTTATATTGCTCACTTCGCAACTAAATTCTTCTTACAGGACGATGGACGGCTTTAAAAGCATCAAAACCATGCAGATTTTTGATTTCACACTTTGCTTTAGCTCCACACAGAATTCTGCTAAGGTCATCACATGTGCAGCACAGATTTCTAACTTGGACACTCGTTTGAAACCAACTGTGTCCAAACAGATTGAGGTTGTGTCGGCAATGAACCAAATTCAGTACAAAGAATTCAAGTATTTAATGCTTAAAGGAATTTTCTGGGCCATTTTAAAGTCAGTTTTTTTAAACAGCTATAAATAATTAGTATGGTCATTGTAGACAGATTCCTGAATGGCCCCAGTTTGGAGAAGTAGCAAATTACATCCTATGGTACTGATCAGTTAACGGATAGTTTCAGGCAAGCCAAGATCAAAGTGTCCACCCCAAATTGTGACTTTTGTCCAAATACTTCAAGTAAAATGTGACTAAATTATAAAGAAACAGAACAATGATAACATTTGTATTATATATGTGAAACAAACTCAGAAAAAGCACCTGCACAATTTTAAATATCAATATCCATACTCATTTTGTTAAAAATAATTGAAAAAATCCTGCTGGACTTGAACAATTTCAGATATTTACACTTTTAAGCTTTAAAGTGACAATGTGTATTTTCCCTGGCAATAGGGGGCAGTACACACCTAAATCATTGCAAGCAAGCAATATTTTTGTGTTCAAATGAGCCCTCACCAACGAATGGCCATTAGGGTCAAAAATCCCTGGGAGCGCAATTTTGGAACGAGTACTTCATCAGATTATTCAACCTCCAGCAAAATAACAAGCACATCAGATTCCCTTACGTCACTGGCAATGAGTGAAGAGGAAAATGTGTAAAACAACATTTACGAACGAGAAAGTTTAGTCATCGTTTGTTACAAAAATCAGTAAATGCTTTTTGCCTTCACGGGCTCCAGTAGAAGGAAACATGGTGTCGCCTAGAGACTTAAATGAGTGTATAGCACCTTTCAGAGTCAGAGGACTCCAAAGTGCTTTACATTACAGTGTATCATTCATCCATTCACACACACATTCACACACTGATGGTGATGAACTATCATGTAGCTACAGCTGCCCTGGGGCACACGGACAGCGGCGAGACTTCTGAGCACAGGCGCCACCGGTTCCTCCGACCATCACCAGCAGGTGAGGTGGGTTAAGTGTCTTGCCCGAGGACACAACAGCAGAAATCTCTGTCCGGAGCTGGAATCAAACTTGCAACCTTCCGATTACTGGACTCAGACCCGCTCCCATGTATTTTATACCCAATTTTTATGATAATATGTTACGAAGCTACCAATGGACATCAACAACATTTCAGTGGATATTTCCAGAGATTAATGGTCAAAACTACAAGTTGTCTCTTTGACCTCCTGGAACCCAAACTTGTATTTGGTGTGATTTAAAAAAATATCTAGCTATTACAGTTTGATCTCCTTAATGTAATTAACAGAAACAAAATGACTAAGATTAAAATACGATTAAAATAAAATTAAATACAAATGTTGTCAAATATCCTATAAAAGGAAGACAACAAAATGTTTTTATTAAATTAAAGCCAATATCAAGTGTCTATAAATAATACCAAAAAGGTCTATGTAGAAGAGATAAAAATTTAAAGTGCAAGGAGCCAATGTCCACATGTGTGGACACAGGGCCTAAGTCAGAGGTTAAAGCATAAATCTATGGAATGCAAACAGCACCATCTAGAGGCAGATTTTGTGTTGCACCCTATGCCATTCTCCCCACTTTAGTGCTGGAAGCAGCACATACAGTATACACACACACACACACACACACACACACGTGTGTGTGTGTGTGTGTGTGTGTGTGTGTGTGTGTGTGTGTTTGTATATGTATATTTAAATATATTTTATTGTCTACTTTATGGGTCACGCCCATCTACTTCTGGACCATGGGTCCCCAGAAGAACAAAGAACTGAATGAAAGTCAATGGGGCTATAAACTTTATTTTCTAATACCGCTTGTTATGTGTCATGGATTTTACGCTACGTATGCTGTCCGTGAATTTGAAAGATGCATTTTGAAACCTAGAAAGCACTTTTCGGTAAAAAATATGTCCAGGACTACAAATGCGCTTCACCAAGTGATGTCATCGAACCAGACACGGAGAAGGATAGGGGGAAAATAGCTGTAAGATCAGGGAGCTTAAAATCCTTCCTTTAGGAGGAAAGAACCACCATACATCTGGCCATCTGCCTATTTACTGCAAAAAAATGTAAATTCTTCTTGTTAGTTGGCACAACAGGATCTGTACACATGAGGAGTGTAAAAAGCCAACGGGTCGTCTGTGGGAGAAAGCATGAGGATGAGGATAAAGAGCCTGAGAGGCACAGACAGGACGAGACAGAAGGAGAAAGGAATAAAGGAGGTCTAACATGGTCGAGAGAGGAGCTCTGGAGAAATGGAATGATGGAGAGAGGGACGGGCGATGCTCAAAAGTCAGAAAATAGAAAGGGAGAGAAAATTTTAAATTGAGGATAATAATGGAAGAAGGAAAAGAGCGAGAGGAAGAGGGAGCAGGTGGTCGATGATATAAACCCGCCATAAAATATTCAATCTTTAATCAGACTCCCAGCATTCCTTAACGAGGCGTAAGAAAGATGAATTAGCTCTTCGAGTTTAGCGAGCTGCGCCAGTTAAAAGTGGCACACAAACACACACATGCGCACACACACACACATACTCAAAAGCGCACACATTACTGTGCCAATATGTCCGTTTTCACACGTGTACAGTAGCATTTACTGAAGCTTTTCAAGCTGGGATCAATGAGCCACAAATGTAATGAGACGGAAAAACAAACACCCAAATAAGAGTCTAAAGATGCCATCATTCCCACTGAACTTGCGCTGCAGATCTGCCTCCTTTGTAAGAGGAAATATGCTGGAAACCATCGTTCTAACTGCAAAAACAAGATCCCAGATTCCCTGGGGACTCACCTATTGCTGAAGCACCTGACACTAAGGACACTGGAGGTGGATGAGACTCACCCAGAGTTTCTTAAGATCTGGAATAATGTCCAGGAATACCGTGAGGAGCAACAATCACTTTTGAAAATAACTGTTCTGCAGGCAATCAGTCTTTAGACCAAGCTGCAGACATTCTACCATATGCAAATTCTTTACACATCCTCTGTGTTGCAACTTTGTGCAACTCAATAGTTAATTTCCTGCATTTATGACATATCTCACACTCATAAAGTGCAGCACAATGCCAGCGCTTTAATAAGTGATCATTCTGCTGTTAGAAAAGGAGACGCCTGCAACTTCAACATACAGTTTTATTGCAGCTTATTAAAACCCAAACGTGCAAGGACTGAATTTTCTGGCTTCTTTAGAGCCACAGTAGCAAGTTTTGGGCACAACATTGTCACATAATCACTTCTTAATGGTCAGCTTGTTAGGACACAAAGGCTCTTTTCTTCCATACAGCAGTTACCGAGTAGCAACATAAACATTCATTTGGGACGTTTTTACTATTTGGCAAATGTAGCACTCAATGCCTCAGAAGCTAGCTGCCAAATATTCGTTTTCATGTTATGAGCCAAGCAGATAGCAGTGAGTTTCGCTTAAACGTTTTAGAATCATGACAGCCTAGCAAAGAGCTGAAATAAACCATGGAACTCAGTATGAACACAGAACCGCACTGAAAGCAGGTAAAATGGATCAGCAATGTAAACTCTATATAGAGGATAAATTAGTGCTAAAAGTACAAATAGCTTTTTGCAGAAAATGTATTTTCAATAGAATTCTTTGACTTTCTTTAAAGGCACCAGGCCGTTTTTGCCTGTTTTAGCACCTTCTAGTTTTCGTTTACTAGAACTAAAAGTGAAAGTTATCTCCTTGCTGTGCATTCATCTTTTTAACACCCAAATCCAACAGCTGAAATGTCTCCCCAGCCTTCATTAGTGTCTAGAGACGTGATTCATCACTAAATGAATAAAAATCAGCTATGTTCATGATCTAACAGGTGGTAAAATAAAAAGTTGCATAGTATGACTTTAAGACAGCCCATATGTCCATCTATCCATTGGGTGCTAAGTCGCGGGGGCAACAGCTCCTCCTCAGCCACTTGGGCCAGCTCCTCCGGGAGAATCTCAAGGCGTTTCCTGGCTAGCCAAGAAACGCAATCCCTCCATTGAGTCCTGGGTCTCCTCACGGTTGGACGTGTCCAAAAACACCTTAAATTTATTCATTTCAATTCAATACAAGTTTATTTATATGGCGCCAAATCATGACAAGAGTCGTCTCAAGGCACTTCACATAGTAAAACATTCCAATACAGGTCAGTTCATTAAGCCAATCAGTAAAAAGTTTCCTATATAAGGAACCCAGCAAATTGCATCTTTACAGCAATCCTCATACTAAGCCAGCATTTAGTGAGGGTGGAGAGGAAAACTCCCTTTTAACAGGAAGAAACCTCCAGACGATCCTAGCTCAGTATAAGCAGCCATCCACCACGACTCACTGGGGCTCGAGAAGACAGAGTAGACACATGCATACATCAACACCAGCCCAACCACCCACACACACACAACATATACCAAGTGTTTCTATGGTTACATTCTGATTTCTTAGTAAATATTCTATTTGGTGAGAGACAAACTTTATTGTATTTATCCTAGCGAATCTATAAATAAACAGATAAACTAGTAGTAGCACATTCAATGTCAAAGAAAGTAAAATATTATCAGGAGAGGGAGAATGTGTAAATGGTTAGCAACAGTGTTCAAGCCGATGGCCCCCACCATAAGGCTACCACAGCTCAGCAGAACATCTGGGCTGCATGGTGGCGCAGTGGTTAGCACTGTTGTCTCGCACCACGAAGGTTGCAGGTTCGAAATTCGGCTCGGTGGCGGCCTTTCTGCGTGGGGTTGTGTGTTCTCCCCATGCATGCGTGGGTTTCCTCCGGGTACTCCGGTTTCCCCCACAGATCACAACATGCCCTATAGGTTATAAATTGTAAGTCGCTTTGGATAAAAGCGTCTGCTAAATGAATAAACATAAACATAAACATCATTGTAGCTTTATCTGAGGGCAAAAACACTTAGAGAAAAAATAACGTTAACATCTGCGATAGCAGGAAATAATACAGTTAAAGAGCAAATTATAGAATTAAGTAGTAGAGTGTGGAAAGTGGTCAGTGTGTCCTCCAGCAGTCTAAGCCTATAGCAGCATAACTACAGAGATAACTCTGGATAACCTAGACTTTTAGATGGAGGCATGTTGGAGGCAGGGAAAGGGAGAGCCGTCTGTACCGACTGTACACTCCACCTCCCTCTACTCCCCCACTTGACCAGATCTAGGTTAACATCAGATTTTAACCATAGGCCCTATCAAATAAAAATATTTTAAGCCAAGTCTTAAAAGTAGACAAGGTGTCTGCCTCACGGACTAAAGCGGGGAGCTAGTTCCACAAGAGAGGAGCCTGATGACTAAAAGATCTGCATCCCATCCTATTTTTAGATATTCTGGGAACCACCAGTAAACCTGCAGTCTGAGAGCAAAGTGCTTGATTATTAAGAGCTTTATATGTGAGAAGGAGGACCTTAAAATCTGTTCTGAATTTAACAGGCAGCCAATGTAAGGAAGCTAGGGCAGGAGAGATATGATCTCTCTTTTCAGTTCTCATCAGAACTCTAGCTGGAGCATTTTGGATAAGCTGAAGACTTTTAACTACATTCTGTGGACTTCCTGAGAGTAATGAATTACAGTAATCCAGTCTTGATGTAATAAATGCATGAACCAGTTTCTCAGCATCACTCCTGGAAAGGATACTTCTAATCTTAGGGATATTCTGAAGGTGGAAAAAGCAAATCCTACAAACCTGTTTAACCTGGGATTTGAATGACATGTCCTCGTCAAAGATAACACCAAGGTTCCTTACTTTCTTCTCGAAGATTAATGTAATGCCATTTAGGTCAGGTGATTGACTAAGCAATTTCCTTTTCTGAATTTCAGGTCCAAAGATGAAAACTTCAGTCCTGCCTTAATTTAAAAGCAGAAAGTTTTGAGTCATCCAATTTTTTATGTCTTCAAGACAAGCCTGTAATCTACCTGACCGATTAGGTTCATCAGGGTTAATGGATAAATATAACTGAGTATCGTCAGCATAACAGTGGAAGTTTATTCCATGCTGTCTATTAATTTTACCAATTGGGAGCATATATATAGTAAAAAGAATTTGTCCAAGCACTGAACCCTATGGTACTCCACAAGTAACCCTGTACTATGAAGATTTGTCATGTACATTTACAAAATGAAATCTACCAGACAGGTAGGATTTAAACCAGCCTAGTGCTGTTCCTTTGATCCCTACAACATGCTCAAGCCTTTCTAAAAGAACATTGCAATCAACTGTGTCAAAAGCGGCACTGAGATCTAACAAGACTAGAACAGACAAAAGACTTCCTTCTGAGGCCATGAGAATATCATTTGTAACTTTCACCAATGCAGTTTCAGTGCTGTGATACTCTCTAAAACCAGACTGAAATTCATCAAACAGATCATTAGTGTTTAAATGCTCACATACTTGGTTGTCCACTATTTTCTCAAGGACTTTAGATATAAACGGAAGGTTAGATATTGGTCCATAATTCATTGGGTCATCTAGATCCAGAGATTACGTAAAGGTTTGATTACAGCAATCTTAAAATCCTCTGGTACGTATCCATTTACTAAGGATAGATTGACTGTATCTAGAATGGGGCAGTAACCAAAGGAAATGCATCTTTAAATAATTTGGTTGGGATTGGATGTAAAATGCAAGTTGAAGGTTTAGATAAAGCTAATATTTTTGATAACTCTGAAAGCTCAACTGGATCAAAACGGTTCAAGCACAGATGAGGTTCTACAGTTACCTCTGATGCTGCTTCACTTACTGAGGAAGAAGAAATCACATTAGGGAGGATGCTAAAGATTTTTTTCTAATAGAATTAATTTTACTCATGAAAAATCCCATAAAGTTTTTGCTGCTGAGGGCTAAGGGAATAGATAGCTCAGAGCTATGATTCTGTGTAATTTTGGCAACTACAGTAATCCCTCGCTACTTCGCGGTTCGTTCATCGCGGATTCGCTGCTTCGCGGATTTTTTCTTTGGAGCATTTTTCAGGGGGAATTCGCAGATTTGCGGTATTTGTCACTGATTCACGGTATTTTTCTATGCGAAATATCAAGAAATTCTTGTTTTTTTTCCATCAATTTCATCATAAAATGCACTTTTTGTAATAAAACTAAAAAAACCAAGTAAAAAAAATTTCTTGAGTTTTACCCACAAAAACATAATGTGATCATACGATAATTCAATATAGTACTGTATGTCAGACAGGTCAGCTGGATTCGGGAGTTGAGCTTGTAGGGAGCGTGGTTTCACAGACGCGGAAGTGATAGCGTCGGTGAAACGCCGGCTGATTTAGGAAACCCCCGAGCGTTCGAGCGTCAACGAAGTGACACGGAAATGCCGGGCTTTCCAGAAGTAAGTAAGATAACTTACTATGAGCTGATAGTTCGTTGGATTGATCGGTAGGTTGGAAACTCTGATCATGAATCTGAAGAAACGATGACTGAGTGGTGAGCTGGAAAGGCGACTTCCGTTTATAGCCGTGGTTTGTGACGTAGAGGGAATCCCCGCGAGGGGCATGCTGGGAGTCCCTACTTCGCGGATTTTCACCTATCGCAGCCAGGTCTGGAACGCATCTACCGCGATAAACGAGGGATTACTGTATACTGAAAAGAAATTTTAGCATTAACTAGATGCTCGAGACACCTCAACTGGCTCCTCTCTATGTGCAGAAGCAGAGGATCGACTCTGAGCCCCTTCCAGATGACAGAGCTTCTCACCCCATTTCTAAGGGCGAGCCCAGACATTCTGCGGAGAAAACTAATTTTGGCCGCTTGTAGCTGTGATCTTGCTCTTTCTGTAATTACCTAAAGCTCGTGAACATTGGTGATGTAAATCGACTGGTAAATTTAGAGCTTCGCCTTCCAGCTCAGGTCTCTCTTCACCCCGACAGACCATTGAGGAATCAAAAACGATGCTAAGTTTATTGGTTTTCTATGTGTGGAGTGATAAAAATAACACTGAAGTCATTCTAAAAATATCTGACAGTTTTGATGTGAGAGCGTGTTTTTTCTTCCTCTGAACCAATTTAGTGACAAAAACCTGCATCAACAACAGCACAGATGAAAAGAGGAAAACATCAATGAAGCACTGACCGGAGGCAGCCCGTGGCATTACGGAGGACCTGAGAAGAGTGTAGGTGCAGCTTTCGGTCCTCCTGAGTGTGTGGAGAGGTGTCCCAGCCAGAGTGTGGGATGATCACAGCATTGGTCAGCACAGCCAAGGCATCCTGGATGATGGGCATCTTCAGGCCATCGCACGATGACAGGTTCCACAAAACACCTGAGGACAAAAGACAGCAGAGACATGGAGTCTCGAAAAACCCGTAAACTCTAAACAATACTGATAAACGAAAGAAACAAAGACCAATGCAGACAAGAAAACACTAAAATATTTAGGAGGTTTTAATAAATGAGCCATCGCAGCCTCACAGGATCAGAGATACAAGTGTAGATAAGAAGCAGAACATATAAAAAATACATTATTTATTAAAATTATTCTCCTCATCTTATATCAGTGTCTGACTGGTGTCAAAATCCACCATCTTTATTTATGTAACCATTTATTGATCAATCATAGCTCAAACCGATAAGTCACTGAAGCATTGGTGCAAAGCCAAAAAAAAAAACCTTCTTAAAATGTCTTTTGATGTCATGACTCATTAGTTTGGAAATCTAGACAGACTGTAATTAAAGCAAAATGATTTTGCCCTGCTTGTCAGTTTAACCTTGCTCCATTAGAGCCTCAGCAGACCCGACCAGTCTGGTATCTTGCGAATCACAGTGCTCTTTCACTTTGGTGGGCGGGATGGTGCGACAGAGTGGAACAACCAAGATGGCAGCAATTCGTTAGAAGCAGCTTTGGCATTAACTTTGGACTATTAAGGGCTTTTCTTTGAGTCAAGAGCAGATAGAGGTACGTAAGTCCTTTATTAAACCAACAAATAGTTCCCGAGTACAGCCACTGCTGCAGCTCACAGCTGCCGCTCACTGATTCCCACAGAGATGGGTCAAATGTGGTGATGAGTTCAGGTAATTGTGGAGGTAATTTCATGAGAGTGTGACGATGACTAATGAGACTTTAGAAAGAGGAGGAATTTGCATCTTCTTTGACAGAGTAAGGCGAACTGCCCTGTTGACTGGCATCCACAGCGGTGAGTAAAGCCTGATTCATGCTTCTCTGTCAGCTCCGCAAGGGACAGACACGCACGCACTGACGGAAGCGTTTTGCTCTCATACTTCTCCGTCTCCTGGGGAGTGTTGCAAAGCAATTCCCCAGCAGGACAACAGAGGGCGTAGCGCTGTTCAGTGGTATCCGGTCATGTATTCGGTCCAAGATAGTGTGTTTATATTGTGTTTTTTGTATATAAGAGACATTTTAACATGGACAAATTTGTCGCTCATCCCCCTCCACCTCTTCATGTGCTCGCCTCCTCTAAACCCACACTTCCTGTCATTTCCGTCCACAAATAAAACGCTTGCTGTGCATCTTTTCACTCATCCAGTCACAGGGGAATTAAAATGTTCACATTTTAGAGTTTTTTCGTGAGGTATTCTTCAAGCTTCTCCGTGTCTGCCGCTAGTTATTCTCAACTCTCTTTATGCTTTTGAGGGCGCAATGGAGGCGGTGTAGATGGCAGCAGGGCCCTGACCAATCACAAGCTTGCGTTCTCCGTCTCGTTCGACAAATGTTTAGAAAAGTGAGCTCGACTCCGTACGTACTTGCGTGCCTGCCGGGGCCCTACGCAAGGACGGATAATGGCGTTGCGTGTCTCCGTGCTGACGCAGACGGAGAAGCATGAATCAGCCTTAAGTCACGTTGTTCCTTATCCAAGACAACGGTAGATCCGCCCCATGACTGAGCTCTGTCTATGGGTCGTGGCCAGACTTATCAATTCACATATATAGGATGGCTTGTCTTGCCAACGTTTTATTGATTTTTGTTTACTTTTTACTATCTGAAAAAACAAGTATGTGCTTTATTTAAAACAGGTGTTAATATGTAAAACACATGTTTAAATCCAACTGTTACTAAACATCGAAAGCAGAGGTTTAACGTATTGATATGAAACCTAACCTTTTATTTATCTCTTTAAGCTGATGTAAATAACAGATTTGTTCTCAGACCACTGAAGTGTTGAAGGCTCTAAATCACTTACGAGAACCCCCCCCCCACCCCCCCCCACCCCCCACCCCGTGCTTTTATTTTTCCTGGTTTTAATTCTCTCCTGAATTCAACATAGAGCGACCAGCCAACCAAGAAAGTGGAGTTTGCTGCTGCCTACCAATGACTGTCCACTCTTTTTTTCCAAGATACAAACACACACACACACACACACACACACACACACACACACACACACACACACACACACACACACACACACACACACACACACACACACACACACACACACACACACACACACACTTTTACTGGAATAGACAAATGCCATTCTCTTGGGGAATAACTCTCTCTCTCTCTCACTCTCTCTCTCTCTCCCTCTCACTAACACACGCACGCACGCACGCACACACACACACACACACACACACACACACACACACACACAAGCTACAATATCCTTGAAGAGCTACATTACGCATCATAATTCTTGCTGACCTTCCTCTTGCAAAGAGTCTGTGTCCTGATCTATGTGCTGGTGTAATTACATGTTTGTGCATTTGAGTGTCTGCTGGAAGTCATATCTGCACACATCTACACCTCTTCTTTATAGCAGCAATTATAGCTGTAGTGGTAAAGCATCCAAGCCTCACATCTCGCTCTCTCTGTGCATGTGTGAAGTAAAGCTTCCATCCATCGGAGTGCTGGAGTTCACCCTCAGCTGGACGGTAACTGTGTAATTATAGCTTTTATCTGTCAGTATGAATTAGATTTTGTGTCTGCCTATTCTTTAACAGCACAAGACTTCTTATCAACCAGAACTTCTTAAACAATCAGAATGAAATTTCATTCCCACCGGACCGTTTCGGATCTGAATATTTCGATTGGCATGTTTACATGAAGAATTTTTGATCTGATAGGGCTTTCATTCCAGTTACTGTAAACATAACTAACACAGACTGAGAGACCATCTAAAGGCTCAGGAACCCTTTGCAGGTGTTCTGGATTCATTAGCTGATTAAACTGTGACACTTATGAACCTTTTCAACAATATTCTGATAGTCTGATATTTTGAATGTGGGATTTTCATGTGCTGTAAGCCATAGTCATTACATTTATAACAAACAAATGCTCGAAATGTCTGGCTTTGCATGTAATGAGCCCATCTCTTATGACTAGATGTCTGGTTCAGTAGGTTATGACCAAGTTGTAGCCAGAAAATGCAACAAATGATGTCATGCTGCAGCTGCAAGACAGAGATTACCCTTTATTTTCTCTATCTAGAGAAAAGTCAGCAGTTTGCTAGCATCACCACTTATCGTCGAGTGTGTGACATCATCTCCCTGAGGTAAAAAGATTTTGTGGGATTTTTTTTCTTGGATCACACACACACACACACACACACACACACACACACACACACACACACACACACACACACACACACACACACACACACACACACACACACACACACACACACACACACACACACACACACACACACACACTCGTGAGACAGATGAAAGAGGTTAATTGCCTCAGCCTTACATCATGAGTGGCAGCAGGAGGTTGTGTGCGTGCTGCCATAGGGAGGGAGAGGAAATGAACACATCGGCTATCTTTCTTTGTCTCTGATGTCATTTCACATTTCAGATTCATATGTCTCCTTTCAACACGGCTCCTTCCTTCCTGATCTCTCTCGGATGTTTTTCCTACTTTGATTTATTTCTAACATTTAAGTTTGTTTGAGCTCTAGAATTTAGACCACTATTTTTTTAATCTAAGAAATTGCACTTTTACCAATGATTATTCCTCTTTATATTAATGTTACTAGTTATCTTTTCTTTCTCACATAAAAAGGATTGGAAATATGTAACTAAATTGTATTTTATGCACATAGCTAAGACTTATCCCACGTGAGCGTAATCTGATAATCAATAACCAATCACAGAAATTCTACACTGCATGTTTCCCCTTAATTATTATTATTATTAGAATTTGTGTTGATTATAAAATCTGATGTATCTCATATAAAGAATCATGTAATGTTACCACACATCCTGCTGGAATTGCCTCAGTGGCGCTCTTAGCTTAGTTAATTTGTTTATTCATGCATTTATTTATGGTTTGTTGGTTTTAGGTTTATGTTATAATTAATATTGTTATTGTTTTCAATGACCTTATGGTTGTTTATCTTGGGTTGACTATTTTTGTCGTTTTGCTTTTTTATTAGAAAAATTATAAATAAACCATCTATGTATGTATATATATATAAAATAGAAATCTACATAAAAAGTTGACCCCCTCCCCTTTTTCTTGTATCTGCAAGCATCTAGTTACTGCCACAAAACAATCAGTGTTGAATGCATGTAGCTTAGTTTTGTGTACAGACTGCGTGGCACCTTGAAACAATCTACCAAGGAGACATGACCTTGAGAACATCAGCATGTCTTCATGTCTCTTATTACAGACACTGCATACATCACTTGCCTTCTGCTTGGCTGTGTGGGTGGAAGATGAGTCCTCTAAACACCTCGGAGACAACATCAGTCGTCTTTTTATTTTATTTTTGCATAAACAAAATCCCAGACACAGCTCCAGTAATCAGTGCTGAGCCAGCCACATTTTTATCCCTCACACGAGGCCAGTAGAAGTCTCACACACACACACACACACACACACACACACACACACACACACACACACACACACACACACACACACACACACACACACACACACACACACACACACACACACACACACACACACACACACACACACACACACATTATAGTATAAGCTCACCACAAAGACACGGGCAAGTGAAATTTAAAGATCTGGCATCCTGTGAAGAATAGCCCTTTTCACTTTCCATCTCAGAGTTTCAAATTAAAATTGGGTTATAATAATGATACATGACCTGGAATTGTCCAGCGCTTTTCTGAGGCAGAGGATTTTGAACCTGCAACTCACTTAATAAAGGGCAAAATCCAAATCCATGAGCCACCACCAAATGTTATGAAACAATAAATCAATAAATGTCCTTCCATCAGGTTTCTTATCTGATTTGTGGTGGTGGAGGTTGCAACCCCAACAGAGAGGCCCAAACCAGACCTGCTCAAAGGCACAGGGAATCTACTCTTCTTCTGCCC